GCATTTCACGCGCTACCATGGAGCCTGCGTTTGGGGTTGAAGCCGGCCACTGTGGACGGGGAGGTACTCGAGTCAGGTGCGTAGTTCTCGAGAGGAGGGCGAGGTGATGAGGGTCGGCCGGAGGAGAGGGTGAGCGAATGCTGTGCAGCCGCCGTCACCCCTCGAGGGACCGCTCCTGCCGCTCCAGCCGTGCGCAACAGCACCTGGCGGTGCCCTGGCAGTCCTCGGCGTGTCCCGCTCGAGGCGAGGGTGGCGTGACGAGGTGCTTTGCGCTTTTGTCGGGGCGACGGAGGAAGGGCGACGGCGACGGCGCAGCTGCGGCTGGTCGGTGCGGCGAGCCGAGCGGGCAGACTCACTCGTGGACGAGAGCTCTGTACTCGGCCTGGGACGAGAGGCGAGGTTCGAGTGAGCGAGCTGCGCCCCCTTCGCCTCCGCGGCGAGATCGAGGCCGCAACCGCGAGTCACGCAGCCTCGCACCTCGACGAGAGCCTGCGCAAACAGTGCAGTACAGTCTCTCACAATCTCGTCGCCGTCGTGAGCCACCGAGCCGAATCGGCGACCGCTCGAAAGCGCTCCTCCTCGACTCTCGAGCCTCCTGGCGAGCCTCTCTCGACGTGCCGAGAGTCCTGCTCGAGTGTACACTGCACGCCTCTACGCCGACAGCGGCGGCTCGTCCTCGTCTGGGTCCACCTCGTCCGCCTCCTCCTCGTCCCCCTTCTCTCCTCGTCCTTCCAGCTCGTCGCCCGGCCCTCGTCGCCCCTCGCCCGCCGCCGTCGCGCCCGCGTCCTCCCCAGGCGGCCGCATGACGCCCTCGACCCAGACCCGGAACGCGGCGCTCGCGCTCGCGTCGCCGCCGGCGCGCAGCTGCGCCTCGACGATGCGCCGCACGGACGGGTCGGCGCGCGCGAGGGCCGACTCGTGCGACGCCGCCGCCCAGAAGGCCGTCACCTGCGGAGGTAAAGCTGGAGCGTCAAAGACCTGTTTCGGTTCAGAAAGGGAGAGAAGGAGGGGGCGCACCTTGTCGCGCATGTCGTCGTCGTGCAGGACGGCCATGCGCTGCATGCTCAGGGCGCGCAGGCGGTGCAGGACGGCCTCGTTCTGGGCCGCGAGGGACGCGACGGCGGGTGCGACGAGTGCGGCGGTCGTCGGCTGGGCGGGCGGGACCGAGGCGGCCGGCGCGAGGAACGAGGCGACGAGGAGGAGGGCCGAGAAGAGGGTGCGCAGGAGGTGGAGCTTCGAGTGGAGCTGCGAGGTCGGCGGACACCGAAAAGAGTCAGTGACTCGTGCCGCAGAGGAGAGCTCGACAAAAGAGCACGAGACGCACCATGGTGACGATCCCTCCGACTCCTCCCCTCGCGCCGTCCCAGGTCAGGCGCATCCACATTTCGTACCCTGCCGCGCCCATGACCGCCATGACCGCCCACACCCTCCACCGCTCTCGCCCGTTGCCGGCGAGCAAGAGCCCGCTCCCGGCGAGCGCCGTCAGGTAGGCAACGGCGACGCCGGGAAGGACGCTCAGGAGGTAGTCGGTGCCGAGGAGGCCGGTCGCGCTGTTGCTGCCGGTCGGGCGGCACCACGCGCACTGGGTCAAGGGTGCGGCGCCGTAGGCGATGTAGGCGAGGCGGGCGTCGAGCGTCTGGAGGCGCGACGCGAGGAGGAGCTCGTCGTCGGTGAGCGGGCGGCGGCCGGCGAGCGAGGCGGTCCACAGGCGCGCGAGGGTGTCGGTCGAGAGGCGCAGGTCGAGAGGGCGGCGCAGGACCGGGAACAGGGTCGACAGGGTCGAGTGCGGGGTCGACAACGAGAGGAAGAGGTTCTGAGGGAGCGAGCTTCAGCGGCCTGAACGAGTCGCGGCCCCGACGAGGGGAAAGAAGGGACGCACATGTGGAGGCGACAGGGCCGAAAAGAGGGCGAGCGAGACGCCCAGGGTGACGACAAAGAGGCGGAAGGCGGCCAGGTTGGAGCTGTCGGGTCGTCGTCGTTGTCGTGCAGGTGGTCGCGAGGCGGGATGAGCCGGTGCGCGCGCGCCCTTTGGTCGAGGGTTGAGCCAGGCTTGTGCGAGGCGGACTAGACGCGGTACGAGGTACGGGCTGGCGATGAGCTGCAGGAGGGCGAGTGGGGAGATGAGGCGGGGAGGACGACGAGGAGAGGGGGAGAGAGGGGGGCGCACTGCGGCTGTTTGGACCATGCCGTTGGACAGTAGACCGCTCATCGCACTCACGGTGGTGCTCAGGCGGGCTCCAGCCGAGGACGCGGGCGAGGGAGAAGCACCAGCTCGTCTCCGACGACGACGACGAGCTCACGCCTCGACCAGCACCTCGACGCTCTGTGGTGCCACAGACTCGCTCTGTCGCACTCGCAAGCACTCAAAACAGCCGACCCACACCTCCCGCCGCACCGCGACCTCGTCACCCCTCCCTCGACCAGCACCGCCTCGTTCGCTCGTCCACCATGAGCGCCAGCAAGATGGCCGTAAAGCGCCTCGGCAAGGAGCACCAGGCCTTCCAAAAGGACCCGCCACCCTTCATCTGGGCCCGCCCGAACGAGTCCAAGTGCGCCTCACCTCTCTCTCCTCCTCCTCCTCCCGGTCCCTCGCCCCCTGTCCTCACCTCCCTTCCTCCTCGGCAGCATCCTCGAGTGGCACGCCATCTTCCGTGGACCTCCCGACACGCCCTACCACGGCGGCGAGTACTGGGCCGTCGTCACCTTCACCAAGGTGCGCTCCCTCTCCTCCTCATTCGTGCGGCTCTCGAGGCTGTGACGAGTCCCCCAACTGACAGACTGGTCGCCACCCAGGACTACCCTTTCGCGCCTCCCGAGCTCAAGATGCTCACCCCGTCGGGCCGCTTCACGCCCAACACGGCCATCTGTGCGTCCTGGCACCCCCCTCTCGTCGCGCGGACCGAGTCCTGACCTCGCACTCGACGCAGGCACGTCGATGAGCAACTTCCATCCGGGCAGCTGGAACGTCTCGTGGAGCATCGAGACGATCCTCGTCGGGCTCTTGAGCTTCATGCTCAGCGAGGAGATCACGACCGGCAAGTCCTCTTGTCCTCCTCTCTTTCCCTCCTCTCGCTCTCTCCTCGACGTTCTTCGAGTACTCTCGCCCACCCGACGCACACCGAGACTGACTAAGCCCTCTCGTCCCTACCGCAGGCGCCACCCAGGCCCCCGATTCCGAGCGCCGCGCCCTCGCCGCCGCGTCGCACGCGTGGAACATCAGCCAGCCCAAGTTCCGCACCATCTTCCCCGAGTACGCGACCAAGGACATGCGCGACGTGCCCAACATGAGCGGCCAGGCGCCGAAACCGGCGGGCCCGCAGGGCGAGGGCACAAAGCCGGTCCGTCGCCCTCTCTCTCTCCCTCTCCCTCTCTCTCTCTCTCTCTCTCTCTCTCGACGCTCGCCGGCTTTCGGGGCGGACAGCCTCGCTTGACAGGACGTGTGCTCACCCAGCTGTGCGTCGCAGGGCAGCTCGTGAACGTGCAGGCTCGAGCAGGCGCAGCACAGGGCGGCGCGGGCGAGCGCTCGAACCGGCTCGTCGTCGTCGTCGCAGCGGCGAGCGCGGCGGTCCTCGTCGCCGTCGTCGCGTGGTGGGTCATGCAGTGAGCAGGGCTTGGTGTAGCGGCGTGTTGTACTTGAGCTTTCTGCGACGAGCTTGGCGCCGAGAGAAGGGAGATGCACGGCCCTCGAGCTTCCCCTCGCGCTCTCGCACTCGCTCGTGGTCCTCGAAAGGTCGCGAAAGAGATAAAGAAACTTGCAGGCAGGACAAATACGACGACCGGGCGACCCTCTCCCTCCGCTCTCGGACCCCGTCGGTCTCAGGCAAAGTACGGCGCCAGCTCGCTCTTGCTCCCCCTCTTCTCGGCCTGGACGTGGCCCTCGCGGGTCGACACGCGCTCGAACCACGCCGCGAGGCGCGGGAACTCGGCCTGCGAGACGGTCGGGTTGGCCGGGATGGCGCGTAGGAGCTCGTACGGGACCGAGAGCTGCGAGGGGCGGGCGAGAGCGTCAGGGCGTGTTCGAGAGGCTCGAGAAGAGAGAGAGAGAGAAAGGGGGCGCACGAGGATGTCGCATGCGGTGAACTTGTTGCCGACAAAGAACTCGTTGTCGCCGAGCTCCTCCTCCATGAACGAGAACGTCTTCTTCAGGTTTGGCAGGATGTAGGCGCGCACGATGGCGCCGCACACAAAGCTCGCCATCCACGACGTCGCGAACCCGAACTTGGCCGGCGTGCGGCACAGGACGAGGTACACGACGAGGTGGAACATGGCCGTGCCCTCGGCCCAGTGCGACCAGAACGCGTACTTGTACGCGTCGGCGGGCGAGAGGCCCGACGACCAGGCGGGCGCGAGCGTCGACGGCGAGCCGTACAGGTTGATGAGCGTGTCGAAGATGGCGCCCGACTCGGCGAGCGTCGTCGGCGTCGGGAAGCCCTTGTCGGCGTCCTCGAGGATGATCATGGGGAACTGCGAGACGGCGAGAGTCAGTCGGCGCAAGGCCGAGTCGGTAAAGTCAGGGAGAAGGCGGCGAGGGAGAGGGAGAGAGTGAGAGGGGAAAGAGAGGGAGAGAGAGCGAGGTGGGACGCACCCTCTTGAGCTTGTAGCCCTTCTCGAGGCCTTCGTCCGGGATCTCGAACGTCTGCCAGTCGCGGTTGTACTCGATGATGTCGTAGTCGAGCTTGAGCTGCAGGCGGGAGCGAGGCGGGTCAGTCGGGCGGACGAGTCGCGCGAGAAGGAGCGTGCGAGGACTGACCTCCTCAAGAAGCCAGAGGATGCGCTGAGAGCGCGAGTCGCGGAGCCAGTGGACGGTGATCTTGGGAGCCATGGTTGCGAGAGAGAACTCGAGTCGAGGTAGGCGCGGCGAGAGGAGGGAGGAGAAGTGAGAGGAGAAAGGGGACGGCGGCGAGAAGCAGGCGGCGGCATGTCGGCGTGCGGGCTGCAGGCGGAGATGGCGCACACCGAGCTGCGTCTGCTGAGCGCAAAGACCGCCTCGGTAGCGGCCAAGTGGCCGAGCGGGGGCGGCGTGAGCGCCGAGGTGGGCCGGGAGGAGGACGAGGTGCGAGAGTCGCGCGCAGAGCCTGCAGCGCGGGCAGGAGGGGCGGTACATGGCCCCGAGCAGTACAGAGCCGTACAGCAGTGCAGCACTGGACAGAGAGAGAGAGAGGGAGAGAGATGGCGCCTCGTCGTCGTCGCCGTCCGCTGGGCTCGTCTCTCTCACACCCACACCCGACGAGCGACCTTGACTGTGAGTGCCTGCACTCCTAGCCTGTACCGCCAAGCCCCGAGCGCGCCCGCACCCTCGCCCCCGACCAGCACTCGACCTCCCCCTCGCCTCGTCGCCCGTCATCATCATACTCCGCCCCGTGCACGACCACGCCCGCCAGCGAGTCCGCCGACTCTGTCAGCACGCCTTGAACACCCTGCGACGTGCCTCGCTCCACCCCACGACCACAACCCGCGGCCTCGCACCTCCCCCCTCCTCGTCCCGACGCTCCACCCCCGCCTTGCCCGCAACCTCCCTACCGCCCCTCACAGCACCGCACTGACCCGACTACTTGCGCCCTCGCCTCTCTCTCCAGATGCCCGGACTCACCGACGATGAAGTCGTCAGCGAGATGCGCAAGATGGTCCGTCCCCTCTCCCTCGCGTCTCAGGCCATCACCGTGCCCGCCGTCTTCCCCCCTCGAGAGGGCGCCGACGACGGGCTAGAGCCAGGAGGTGAGAGAGAGGCTGCTGACATTCTCGCGCCCGCGCCCTCTCGCCACGCCCGCAGACGGCCTTCATCAAGCAGGAGGCGCTCGAGAAGGCGCGCGAGATCAAGGTCAAGGCCGACGAGGAGTTTGCCATCGAGAAGGTGCGCCCCACCCTCTCTCGCTCCGTTCCCTCCTTGCGCCGCTCGCACGCCGAGCCGCGAGCTGCACCGGGCCTTCCGTCTACATGAGCCGCGAGCTGACCCCCTCCTCGTGCGCCGAAACAGGGCAAGATCGTGCGGCAAGAGAGCGCCAACATCGACGCCGCCTTTGAGCGCAAGAAGAAGCAGGCCGAGATCGAGAAGAAGATGTGCGTCGGCGCCTCTCCCTCTCGCGACGACTATCCTGCTCGTCGGCCGGCCCTTTTGCCTCACCAAGGCGCAGCACTGACTCTTGTCGCACCGTCGCACAGCGCCATCTCAAACCAGAACAACAAGGCGCGGCTGCAGCTCCTCGAGAAGCGCGAGGAGCTCCTCGAGCAGGTGTTCGAGGACGCGAGGACCAAGATCACCGACGTGACCAAGGACGAGGCCAAGTACACCGAGCTCCTGAAGAAGCTCGTCCTGCAGGTGCGCACCCCTTTCTCTCTCTCCTTCCCTCGTTGCCCTGGGCGGCGTCGCTCGAGCCATTGCCGACCCTCTCCTCGTCCCACTCCCCCTGCCCGCAGGCGCTCTTCACGCTCATGGAGAAGGACATCAAGGTCTCGGGCCGGCCAAAGGACCTGGAGCTACTCAAGAAGGCGACCGAGCAGGCTGCCGCCGACTTCAAGGAGCAGGCCGGGTTCGAGGTCAAGACCGAGGTTAACGACCAGCTCGGCGACAAGTCGTGCGTCGTCAGTTTCTCTGCCGCGTGTCCTCGCGACGGGCGGTCGCGCTCGCTTGTCGCGTTCGGCAGTAGTGCACGCAACTGACCTCTGCCTTTTTGCGCGTGCCCGCAGCGCCGGCGGCGTCCTGATTCGAGGCTACGGCTCGCGCATCACGGTCACCAACACGCTCGACGAGCGCCTGCGCATCCTCGAGGAGCAGATGTTGCCCGAACTGCGCGAGAAGCTCTTTGGCAAGAACGAGAACCGCAGGGTCCGTCCGCCTCTCTCTGTGTCGGACCGTGACGAGCTCGAGCGGGCCCGCACGGCCTCGCCGGCTCGTGTTCTCGGACCACAGCCTGACGACCTTTGTCTGTGCGCACAGTTCTACTCGTAGACGCTTCCAGTCTCCTGCGCTCCCTTGCGAGCCCGATATCCACCCCCCTTTCGCTCGCCCTTCGCCCTCTTCCCCTCGTTCTTGTCTCGTTTTTAACTTTTGCGCGAGTAGTCTTCGCGCGGTCGTCTCTCCTTCTTTGTGCAACTCTGGCCCTCTAGCAGCAACACCTGAGCGAGCGAGCGAGAGCGGAGAAAGCTGGTCGCGTAAGCGAGGGAGCCGGCTCGGCAAAGGCGACGAGCCGAACAACGTCGACCCGCTCGCGGTTGCGGGCCTTGCGCGCTCGCATGCTGCACAGCGCGCGACTGCTCGGTCGCGCTCGCACACTGCTACACCGGCCCAGCATGGCCCCCTCTGGCACGACCGCCGCGTCGCGCCTCGCCCAGGTCACCAAATCCCTCTCCTCGCACGCGACAAGCTCGCCCTCGACGGCGCACCACGCCCAGCGCGCGCTCCTCGGCCACCTCACGCTCGACGACCTGCGCGTGCCCGTGTACGACACGCGCGACGTCGCCCGCTTGCCGAGGGACGACCTCCTCCTCGACCCGGCCGACCCCGTCGTGCGCGCCGAGATCGAGTTCTTGATGAAGAAGTGGGGACTCGGTGCGCCCCCTGTTCTCTCCTGTCCCTCTGGGCGAGGCCGCACACTGACCTGCGCGAGCGTCCCTTCTCGCAGGTCAAGACGTCTTCCTCCTGTCGTCGCCCGGGCCCTACACTCGCCGCCTCGCGCAGACCTTCCTCTCGCTTCTCAACACGCCGTACGAGCTCGTCACCCTCCATCGCGACGTCGGCGAGTCGGAGCTCAAGCAGGGGCGCGAGATTCGGGCCGGCGGCAAGCTCGAGTGGACCGACTCGGGTGCCGTGCGGGCGGCCAAGGAGGGCAAGGTGCTCATCCTCGACGGCATCGAGCGCGTCGAGCGAGGCGTGTTGCCGCTGCTCAACAACCTGCTCGAGTACCGCGAGATGGTGCGTCGCTGGTTCCCCTCCCTTCTGCGTCCCCCTCTCTCGCTCGCGTGCTCGAACGCGAGCTCACGTTCTCGCCCTTGCGCAGAACTTGGAGGACGGCACGCACCTCGTCTCGACGGCACGGTACGACAAGATGGTCCAGAACGGCGAGGACACGACGTCCTTCATCCCGACCCACCCGGACTTCCGCATCATCGCGCTCGGCGTCCCCGTCCCGCCCTACCCGGGCCTGCCCATCGACCCGCCGTTCCGCTCGCGGTTCCAGGCGCGCTACGTCGACCCGGTCGCGGCGGCCAAGGTCATGGCGCGGCAAGAGCTCGGCCGCATGCGCGAGGTGTGCGGCGAGGCGAGGACGATCCAGGTCGAGGACGTCGTCGGCAAGATGGGCGAGGTCATGGCGAGCCTGCAGATCGCTCGCGAGATGCGTGCGTCCCCTTTTCCCTCGTCTTCCTCGATGCGCCGCCGCGCACCGTCCCTCAAGCTCGCCGCTCGGACCTGGGCCCACCGCTTTCTGAGCCTCACTGACAATCCTCTGCTCCCGCAGGCGCCAAGATGGCTTCCGGCATCGAGGCCGACGCCCGCACCGAGGTCCCGCTCTTCCCGCAGACGACCCTCGTCAAGCTCGCGCGCTTCCTCGCCGTCTTCCCCCTTACTGCCGACCCGACCCTCGTGAGCCCCGCCGACTTTTTCCAGCTCCTCCTCCTCGCCCACCCGACGCTCGCCTACTCGGGCAAGCCTGCGCGGCGCGCGCTCGAGGAGGCGCTCGTTGCCGCTGGGCTCGGCGCATGGGCCGAGGGCCTGAGCGAGGTCGACTTGAGCGCGACGATCTCGACCAACACCGACGGCATCATGGGCTGGCGCCTCGTCGACGTCAAGCCGGGCGACGCGGACCAGGCCGTCGCGACGTTCTCGCGCGCCGGGTGCGACGACGTCGTCGTCCCTGTCGCGGCCGGCTCCCTCCCCTTCTCGACCTTCCCTCCCCAGTCGACCGCCGACCTCCACATCACGCCTCGCTTCACCCACCTCCTCACCTCCCTCTTCCAGCTCCACGCCCTCTCGACTTTCGACATCTCGTTCGTCCCGATGGCGCCGACCGTCCAGGCCTCGTCCGCCTCGACCTCGCTCCTCCTGTCGACGTTCGCCTCCATCCTCGGCTACGAGCTCGAGTCGCTCCACCTGTACAAGGAGCTTGGCGGGCGCGAGCTCTGGATGCGCCGAGTCGTCGGCGGGTCCGGCGGCGTCACGTCGTGGGAGGAGGCGCCTCTCGTCCAGGGCGCGAGGGCAGGACGGCTCGTCCACCTCGACGGCGTCGACACGCTCTCGGCGACATTCAACTCGCTCTCGCGCCTCCTCAACGACCGCCAGGGCGAGCTCTGGGAGGGCAAGCGCCTCACGGCGTCGTCGTCGTCGTCCGCCGACGGCAAGGCGGCGGCAGAACCAGGTGTCCTCGTCGCCATCCACCCGTCGTTCCGCGTCGTCACGACGGCGTCCAAGGCGACGGCGCCGACCGAGTGGCTCACCGAGGACGTCGCCGCCAACCTCGTCGCGCTGCCGACCCTCCCGATGCCGATCGACGAGGAGCGCGCGCTCCTGCTCGCGGTCGGGTGCGCCGCCGCCCTCGTCGACCAGCTCGAGCTCTTCGCGACGCGGTACCGCGAGCAGACGGCGGCGTCGGGCATGAAGGCGCGCCGGCTCGGCACGGCGAGCCTCGTCCGCATCGCGAGGCGGCTCGCCAAGTACCCGCACGAGAACGTGCGCACGCTCGTGGAGCGGGCCCTCCTCATCGACTTCTTGCCCAACACGGAGCGTGACGCGATCTCGGCGCTCATGACGGAGCTTGGGCTCGAGAAGGAGCTCGACCGAGTGCGTCCCCTCCTTTCCTCGCCCGGTCGCACTGCCGGACCAAGCCCTGACCGTCCTTCCTCCACAGCCTCTCGCTCCTGCCGAGGTTCAAGACGGCGCACTCGTCTTCCGCTCGGCCCGCGACGACGGCATCGAGTACACGATCGCCAAGTTCGACCTCGCAGCGCACGACCCGGCGGGCGCCTCTCACGTCCCTCGCGCCGACGGCTACCACGAGTGCGTCCTTTGTCTCTCGCTTTTCTTTCAGGAACCCATGCCTGACTATCCTCCCGCCGAGCAGCAACGCCCAGCAGACGCGGTACCTGCGCGACCTCGCCGTCGACCTCGAGCTCGGCAAGCACGTCCTCCTCATGGGCTCGCAGGGCACGGGCAAGAACCGCACGATCGACCGGCTCCTCGAGCTCCTCGACCGCCCTCGCGAGTACATCCAGCTGCACCGCGACAGCACGGTCCAGGGCCTCCAGTTCACGACGCTCATCGAGGGCGGCCAGCTGCGGTACATCGACTCGCCGCTCATTCGCGCCGTCAAGCTCGGCCGCGTCCTCATGGTCGACGAGGTCGACAAGGCGTCGCCGCCGGTCGTCGCCGTCTTCGCGTCGCTCGCCAGTCGCGGCGAGATGACGCTCGCCGACGGGCGCAAGATCCGCCCGGCTCATCAGCGCGGCGGCCCCAACGACATTGCCGTGCACCCCAACTTCCGCCTCGTCCTCCTCGCCAACCGGCCAGGGCACCCGTTCCTCGGCAACCCGTTCCTGTCGGTCGTCGGCGACGCCTTCTCGACCTAGTGCGTCCTCGTCCTCAGCTCTCTCTCTCGTTGCCGTGGTCGTCTCACTCACTCTTTCTCTCCCTGCAGCCCGATCGCCAACCCGGATCCCGACAGCGAGTTGAGGGTCCTCGTCCAGCTCGCCCCCGAGCTCGACGTCAACATGCTCAAGTCGCTCGTCGCGGCGTTCCAGGACCTGCGCAAGGAGTTCGACGCCGGCACCCTCAGCTACCCGTTCTCGCTCCGCGAGCTCCTCGCCCTCGTCCGCCACCTGCGCCGGTACCCGTCCGAGCCGCTCGAGCAAGCCCTGCGCAACCTGGTCGACTTTGACGTCTCGCGCCCCGAGACGCTCGACGCGCTCATGTCGGCCTTCCGGCGGCACAAGCTCGGCGTCCGGTACGTCGGCATGGACGCGGTGCGCGGGCAGGCCCTGCCCGAGGGCGAGCTGCGCAAGGCGGGCGAGATCGAGTTCGACCCCGAGAGGGAGGGGCGCGACACGGACCTCGGCGGGCCCAAGTACGGCAAGACGGACAACGAGGAACATCACGGCGGTAACACGTGGGCAGGAGGGACGGGCGGGCGCGACACGGCGGGCCTCGGTGGGAGGGTGCGTCCCTGTCTTCTTCTCTCTCCCTCTCTCGTCCCTCGTCCGTCCTTCGGTCCAGAGAATCGGCGCCGCAGCTACTGACGGCCTCGATGACTCGCAGGGAGGGTACATGCGCCTGTACAAGGGCCACGACATCCGCCAGATTCCCGACGGCCTCAAGGCGCAGGTCCCCGACGAGATCCAGAACCGGGCGCGCGACATGGCGCGCAAGGAGCTCGCCGAGAAGCTCGCCGAGATCGACATGACGTCGGCGCAGGCGTCGTCGTACACGCTCTACCACGAGCGTGTGCGCGCACACGTGCACCAGCTCGTCACCTTCCTCGAGAGTGCGTCCCCTCTTTCTCTCTCCGCGCCCGACCGGCCCATCTCTTGACTCGCGTCACACAGAAATCCCGAGACTGACTGCCTCTCGTTCGCGCTGCAGACCTCGAGGCCAAGGAGGAGGAGCGCATCTGGCTCAAGCGCGCCGTCGACGGCGAGCTCGACGAGTCGCGCCTCGCCGAGGGCTTGACGGGCGAGGCGACCGTGTACAAGCGCCGAGGGCAGGAGAAGCCCGAGCTCGGCGCGCCGCAGCTCAAGCCCAAGCGCATCCGCTTCGTCGTCGACGTGTCGGCGAGCATGTACCGCAACCAGGCCGACGGTCGTCTCGCCCGTTCTCTCGAAGCCGGTGCGTCCCTTGCTCTCTGCCCCACCTCTCCATCGTCTCTCTCTCTCTCGAGTGGGCGACGGGTGCGCGTGTGGGACTGCGAGGCGGCGGAGTAACCGCAGAGCAGGCGGGTCGACCTTCTCAAGTTGAGCCCCGGACTGACCTCGTCCGCCGCACGCGCAGTCGTCATGATCTGCGAGGCGTTCAACCAGCTCAGCAAGCAGGGCAAGAGCAAGTACAGCATCGACATCCTCGGCCACTCGGGCGAGGGCGCCGAGATCCCGTTCGTCGCCGTCGACGCGCTGCCGAGCAACGCCGGCGACCGGTGGCGCATCGTCGAGAAGATGGCGCTCATCTCGCAGTGCGTCCTACCTCTTCCCCTTCTTCTGCGCCCTCTCCCCGGACCCGCACGCCTCGCCCTTGCCGGCCGGCGCGCCTTTCCTCGACGCGAGCTGATCCCTTGGCCTTTCGCCCTCTCGCAGGTACTGCTGGCCGGGCGACGAGACGCTCAACGCCATCAACAAGGCAGTCGACGCTGTCGCCGAGGCGGATGCCGGTGCGTCCCCCTCCTTTTCCTCGTCGTCGGCGTCCGTCACGAGCTCACCTTCCTGTCTCGCCCGCAGACGACTACATCGTCATCGCGCTCAGCGACGCCAATTTTGAGCGGTACGGCATCACCAAGGACGACATCCGCCGGTCGTTGACGAGGAACCCCAAGGTGCACGTCGCCCTGCTCGCGATCGGCGAGGGTGCCGAGACGGCGTGGCTGCCGCAGGTGCTGCCGGGCAAGGCGTTCACGGTGCGCCAGACGGGCGACCTCGCGAGGACGATCCGCACTGTCCTGAGCGCGACGCTCGACAAGGGGTTGTGAGCGGCGGCGAGGTCGACGTCGGGCCGGCTCGAGCGCGCCGGTCGGCCTTCCTCTTTTTTTCGATTCTCGAGACGCGCTCGGCGAGGGTTTGTAGCCCCCTCCCTCATCTTTGTCTAGACTGTGTGTATCTACTGCATTGCACGAGGAGCAGCTGGCGGCGAGAGGCAAGCGCTCGCGCCTCGTTGTCACTGACGCGACTTGCTCGAGCCCTTCCCCAGCTTGCGCTCCTCCTCCTCCCTCGTCCTCTCTTCTACGGCTCCCACGGCCTGCTGGACACGCTCAGCAGCGCTCTACAGCCTCACTGAGCGCACTCGAGCTCACGCCGCCATCTTGTGCGTCCGCCCCTCCCCTCCCCGTCCTCGCGCATCCTCATCGCCTTCGAGCTGACCCACCTCCCTCCTCGTCACAGCAGCCCCGGCACACGGGCAGCCATGAGCACCATCACCACCACGACACGGTCCGCGACCGCACTCGCGCCCAGGGTCCCCCTCACGGCCCTGCCCGAGGGCTACGCCTCGCTCTTCTTCGCCGCCGCCGCCCCTCCGCCGGGCAAAAACGCCATCACCCGCGCCCGCGGCGTGCCGCTCGAGACGTTCATCGCCATCATGCACTTTGTCCGCGACGGCAGCGAGCGCGACCTCGTCCGGGCGACCCATGTCTGCACGGGCTGGCGGCGCGCCATCGTCGAGTGCGGCCACCTGTGGAGCGACCTCGACCAGGTCAACGTCGTCGACACGGTCACGGTCGAGCGTGTGCGCGTCGTCGCGGCGAGGGCCAAGGACCACCTGCGCCGTCTCGCCCTCACGTTCGACGTCGAGGACGACCCGTCGCTGTGCCTCACGATCGCCGTCGTCGTCAAGCAGATCTTCCGCGAGGTGTCGCGGTGCGGCGCACGCGGCCTCGAGGAGCTCACCGTCGACCTGCGGCCCATCTTCCACCTCCTCGAGGACCTCGAGCCGGCGTACAACGTCGTCGTCCTCGCCATCCAGTTCGCCGAGTTCAGCGCCGTCAACCTGCGCACGCTCAAGATCTTCACGGCCCTCGACCGGTTCCCGAGCGGCGCGCCGTTCCTGTCCAGCCTCCCCGACCTCGACAAGATGGTCATCACCTCGGCGCTCAACGACCCGTACGGCGAGATGCGCCTGCCCGACTTCTTCTCGATCATGCCCCTCGAGTCGGCGCAGCTCACGTCGTGCGCCCTGACGAGGCTCGTCCTACGCGGCACGTCGCTCATGGACTCGACGTTCCCCGACTTTCCCGCCCTGCGCGAGGTCAAGTTGCTCTCGGTCCGCATCTGCAACCTGTACGGCCTCCTCGTCCGGGCACCGGCGATCCAGACGCTGTGGCTGCGCAGCGTGCAGACCGATCCGGCGAATCGGTTCCTGCCGCCGGCGCCAGGCGGCGGCCCCAAGGACGTCCCGGCGCCTCTCGAGCTCCCGGCCCTTCGTCACCTCTGCATCGCCGGCGAGTCGCCGCTCCTCTGGGTCCCGCCGACGCCGACCACGTCGCACTTTGTCGTCGTCACGCCATTCCTCGAGACGGTCGACCTCGGCCAGCAGTACGATTGCGAGCGCGACGAGGAGTGCGTCCCATCTTTCTCTCTCTCTCTACCTCTTTCGCTCTCTCGCCTTTGCGCTCACACTTCTCTCCCCATAGGTCGGGCATGCTCCGCGTGTACTTGTCGACGCTGCACCCGACGCCCGACAGCCTCTCGACCCTGTTCCGCAACGCGCCCCACCTGCGCAAGCTGCGCATGACGAGCCACCACTCGCCGCTCGACATCCTTTCGCCCGCGCTTCGCCACGCCGCGCCCGACACCCTCACGACGCTCTTGATCGGCGGCACCAGCTTCGCGACCGACGCGCTCGTCGACAGGCTCGGGCTCGACGTCCTCCCGAGCCTCGTCTGGCTCGACGTCTTTCACCCCGATGGCAAGGAGGTCAACCGGGTGACGGTCCAGGCGCTCGCACGCCTCGGCGAGCGGTACAAGTCGGTTAAGGTCCCGGCGCTCGGCGGCCCGAACGAGGGCAAAAACGCGCTCACGCTCGTCACCAGTTGCGTCCCTCTCTCCCCCTTTCTCTCTCTCCTGCTCGTCTGGGCCCGGGCGAACGCTCACCGCCTTTCTTCTGCGCGCAGACGAGCCCTTTACGGCGGCCGACCCGAGCACGTCGGACCTGCGCGCGGCGCTGCGCAACCTCCTCCTCACGCTGTCGCCCGCCCAAGTGTCGCACCTGCCGTCGCAGCTCGCGCTCAACCCTCCTCCCGGCGCCCTGTCGTTCCCCGTCATCGCGCACGAGATCAACGTCATGCCGCTCCCGCCGGCGCGGCCGCCGTTCCCGCTCAAGCCCAACGGCAAGTCGTCGGCGGCGGGCGACCCGCTCGACGACCCGGCGACGGCCGAGCGCAAGCGGCGCAACGCCGCCGCCGCCGCCGCGAGCGCGCCGCGTCCCGTCGCCGACCAGGCCATGGTGGACGAGGCCAAGCGCGCGCTGCAGCGGTGGCACGTGCGGCGCGAGGAGGAGTGGGCACTCGCGTCGTGCCGGCGCGACGACAGCGGCGTCGAGCTCGTGTGGGGCGTGAGGGAGTACGACGACGAGGGGTGGGCGTGCGGCAAGGCGCACCCGGGTGCGGCCGAGTGGCTCAAGGGCGCCGAGGACGACGACTGAGGCAGGGTCGTCGAGAGGTCCGTGCGCGAGGTCGGCGGCGGCGGCGGCGACGGACAGGGGAAGCGAGGGACGACTGCTTGACCTGCGCCAGGTGTCCGACGAGGAGGACGAGGGTGAGATGAGGAGCCTGCTTGCCAATCGACGAACGCTTTTGCCCGCTTCCATCTGCCTCTCGCTCTCGTGCAGGCTCGAGAGAGAGCGACGTTACGACGATGCAGAGATGAAGAGTGGAACGATAATGAGTGACAGGGGGTGCGAAGGAGACATAACGAGTGTAGGGTTACGGCAAGAGAAAGAGAGAGAGAGCGAGAGAGAGGGGGGAGGGAGAGCTACTCGTCCTTGAGCCCGCCCGCGTCCTTGACCGCGCCCGCCCCGCCACCGCCCTCGTCGCCTCGCCCGCCCTTTTGCGTGCGCTTGACGCGCGAGAACATGCCGACATTCGAGTCTGTGTGCGGCAGCGAGAGAGACTGAGTGAGCGAGTGCGCAAAGAACACCAAGAAAGGTTTGCCGCCGCGCTCGCCCACGAGCGACCGAGCGCGAGGCAGGCCAAGGATCAAGAGGACTGCTCGAGAGACGCACCGGTGATGAACCTCCACGTGACGCCAGGCCAGCTCGTGTGGCTCGGGAGGACGTCGTAGAACTCTGGCGCGAGCTGCTTGAGCTTCCACAGGCGGGTCCACGGGATGGCGGGAAAGTCGTGGTGCTCCTGGTGGAGGCCGACGTTGTAGCAGAGGATGTTGAGCGGGCCGTAGCTGTGCGCGAGGAGTGGAGAGGAAGGAGCGTTGGTGAGGGGAACGAGGAGAGGAAGGAGGAGGACGAGAGGGACGCACTAGCTCCACGTCTCCTGGTCGTGCCCGTCAAAGAGGTAGTGCTCGGCAATCTGCGCGTCGGCGAGGAAGAAGGTCAGTCTCGGCAGCCTCGCTCACGAAGAGGAGGAGGAAGGAAGAGAGAGCCGGGCTCGGGGCGACGCACAAAGTGGCCCGCGCACGGGTGCAAGCTGCCGGCCAAGTGGCTGCTCAGGAGGAAGTACAGCATCGAGTGCCACCCGGCAAACTTGACGACGAGCGCGTTGAACGACAGCTGGACGAGCCAGTTGAGCGCGACCCACCGCGTCGGCGCCTGGTACCGGATGAAGCCCGGGCGCAGCGCGTAGAAGAAGATCTGGAACGAGCTGCGGGAGGGGCAGTGTATCCGTCAGGAACACTTGGTAAGAGGAGAGGGAAGGGCGAGGGACGCACGCGAAAAAGGCCTTGCCGAGGACCGAGTTGAGGACGAGGAGCTCGAGGCGCGAGGGCAGGTCCGTGTCGATGCCGTCGACGCCAAGGAACTGCAGGTGCGCACCGAGAGAGAGAGTCAGTCTCGGCGCTCGTGCGTGGACGGGTCGAGCGCTCGGGCGAAGAGGCTGAACGAGCCGGGTCGTCGCACGACGGCGACGACGGGCCTCGTCGCATCGTGGCCCGGCGCTCGACAAAGGGTACGAGGGTGCTCACCTTGTGGTGCTCGATGTGGTACTTTTTGAACATCATGGCGAACGGGACGCCGATCGGGAGGTTGGCAAAGATGGCAAAGAGGCGGTTCTGGCGCACGCCGCGGAAGGCAAGGTTGTGGGTGATCTCGTGCACGGCGAGGAACGTGCTCTGGTTGGCGGTGCCGCCGACGAGGTAGGCCAAGGCCCAGAACTTGAGCGAGAAGAAGGGGGTCGAGCGGAGGTACCACGCCGTCGAGAGCTGGACGAGGGTGACGAACAGGACGACGTATTTGGTGAGGGGCTCGTGACCCATGAGCTTGGTGACCTGTGGGCGCGGGAGCGCGAGTAAGCTCGTGCGCAACTGACGGCGAAGGACCTCTTGAGCGCGCGAAAGAGGTGAGGAGGGGGGACGGACCTCGGGGTGAGCCTTCATGATGGCCATGCGGCGCGAGCGGTGGGGCTCCTCGTTCATCTGCCACAGGAAGTCGGAGTGGTCCTGGGCGGGCTCGACCTTGTTGGGCGCCCACTGCTCGCCGGCGAGCTTGAAGGGCGGCTCCGAGGCGGCGGCGGCTTGGTCGTCCGGGCCCGGGGTGGTGGCGCGCGTGTCGGGCTCGTCCGAGTCGGATGCGGATGCGGATGCGGATGTCGACGATGCGGTTGCGGTCGACGACGAGGTGGAGCGGTGCATGTCGGCGGTCGAAGGCGAGGCGCGCTGTCGAAGCGAGGGCGGGAGCTCTTCTGCGCCGCCAAAGAGGTCGAAGCGGGTGCGCAGGTCTTGTGCCGACGACAGGGCCTGCATCGGGCTCAGGGCGGCCATGGTCGTGACCGTGCGGGTGCGGTGTGCGGCGAACGAGGGGTGGTCGACGCGAGGTGGGTCGGATAGCGCGGCGTGGCGCGGGGCGAGTCTGGTGCGGGTGAGAGAGAGCTGCCTGCGCGTCTCTGGGTGTGCTGGACCTGCCTCGGGCGGAACAAGGCGACAGCGGAGGGCGACGACGACGACACCTCGAGCGAGCCGACACGCTCCACCCTCACCACCACCCTCCCACTCGCTGGGCAGACTGCTGCACCCTCTGTGCACGCTCCAGTACTCTTGAATGGGCACGACGCCGACCCACGACTCACCCTGTGCCGTCCCTCACTCTCTTGCCCTCGCTCCTTGATGAGAATCGCCTCGATACTCCAACCACCCTCGCCCAGCCTCTCGACTGCCTGCGACACGCGCCAGCCTACTCTATGATAGGCAGCAAAGCCTTCAGAGACAGGGCGACTCGGTAGAGAGCGGTATGGACGAGAACACCGTGTGCGTCCACCCCCCTTCACCTCGACCCCTCCTCCGTGCGCCCACACTCACCTCTGCTTGCGTCACAGACCACCGCATCATCTTCAGCGACACTCTATCGACCAACCGAAGTGCCCGCCAAATGTCGCTGCTCCCGGTCGACGCTCCTCCCCTCGTGCGCCTTCGCCCCGTCTCGCGACCGACCCGCAAGCCGCCTTCAGCCCTATGCGCGCCGTCGCCGATACCGCCACACGCTCGGAGGGCAACTTATTACCGACGAGCGCGAGTGCGGCCGAGCTGGCGGCCTTCGTCAATGTCGACCGTCGTCGAGCCGAGCTTTGCTCCCAGCAGCTCGAGGACGACCCGTCGAGCGCGTGCAATACCAGCCGGTCGCTCTTCCATGTCCGTCCATCTCAGAGGAGAGTTCGAGGCGAGCGGATTGCGCGTCGGACATCTGTACGGCGCGAGCGAGACGAGGTTGTGCGACGGCGCGAGCGATTGTGAGAGCGAGAGCCCGCCGAGACGAGGAAAGCTCGTGCGCAGAGCCCCGCCGAGTCGCGAGCACCGACAGCGAACGGCAGCACCGAGAAAGAGCCACGCAGGAGAAACGGCGCCGACGTGAGAGCAGTCTCGAGCGGGGGAGAAAGGGAGGCGCGCAGGGCGAGGCACTCGGTCCCTCTCGTCGCGCCTGGTCCGGACAGCGATGGGCCGACAGTGCCACTGGAGCTACTCGAGCAGCCTGGCGTCTATCAGAGAGCTGTGAGACGACGACGTCGAATGATGCTCTCTCTCAAGAAGGCTCGCCGACTCAGAGCCGGTCGCGGCCGGTACCCAGCTCTCGTGGGCGTACAAGCGCTGGACAGACACGTCGGGGCAGGCGTCGAGGTCTACGGCAGCTCTCCAGTCCCGCCAGTCCGAGAGCTGGTGCCGGCGAGTCGCCCTCGTCCGCGCCTCGCCTCCTCTTGGTCTCCGCCCTCTGTGTCCGTCCTCGAACCTCTCGCTCGTTTGCGCCAACGAGTGTACCGAGGCGACATGGTCCAGGAGCAGCTCGACGACAGCACGGCCCCCTCGAGGCCCGACGTCCACAGTGACGAGCGCTCGGGTCGCTCGGACGGCCCCGACCCTGGCCCCGCCGCCGACCCCTCGCCTGCGGCCGACAAGCAGCTGGGCGCCATCCTCAACGCGTCCGAGCCGCCAAACGCCCCGCCGCAAGCCCCGCGCGAGCCGGACGAGGCGCCCGAGCCGACGCGCCCTCGCCCCGACGATGAGCAGCACCGCCTCGCTCGACCTGCCGCACCCGAGCCTGCACCTGCGTGAGCACCGCCCGCCTCCCTGTCCCAGTCCACTCGAACCTCGCGCTGACCGCTGCCCTCCCCGCAGCGCGCCGAGCCCGGTGCAGTCCGTGCTCGTCGGCCAACCGCCGCTCTCGCTCGACATCCCGCCGCCAGTTCACCCACCGCCGCAACCTCCTCGCCTGCCCGTCGCCAAGCTCCTGTTCACCACCTTGGCCCCCTCGGTCCACCTCTCGATCCGCGACATGTGCGACTTTGTGCGCGACTGTGAGTCGACGCCGCCCTCCCTCCCTCTCCTCCTCCCCCGCCCCGCTTCCTCCTCCTCGGCCTCGCTGACCCTCCTCTTTCTCTCCCATGCAGTCCCGAACGCCGAGCATATCAACATCCAGTCGGGCCGAGCCGTGTCGACCAGCTACAACGCCCAGGAGCCCAACCTCCGAGCCCAGCTGTGGGTCGACTGGCACATCTTCTCGACCCTCGCCCGCGCCCTCGGCGTCCCCGTCTTCCCGATCCAGCCCGCCAAGGTCGCCCTCGTCCTCGCCACCTACGCCGAGATGCCCCTGTCGCCCGTCCTGCGCCAGATCGCCCACCTCACCTCGCCGCACGACACGTTCGCCATCCCCAACGTCTTCGAGGCGCTCAACCTCGCCGCAAAGGCGACGCGCCACCTGTGGACCGACGTCGCGTGCTTTGTCCGCTCGGCCGACAACTACGAGGCGACCGCCGTCCTGCACGCCCACGTCAACGAGGTCGCGTGCGTCGACCGGTCCTCCTCTCTCTCCTCGAGGTCGTCCACTCACTCGCGTTTCCTCGACAGGCGTACCAGCTTCTATGCCCGCACCGGCCAGGCCTACTACGGCCGCCCGCCGCTCGCCTACCCGTATCAGCGCATGCATCACCCGCCGCTGCCGCCGCGCCAGTCGCAGGACCCGGTCAGCACGCGCCCGCTCTTAACGCACGTCCCGCCGGCCGCACCGGCGCCGTCGCTCGTCACGCCGCCGCCCGATCAGTTCATCCAACGTGCGTCGACTGTCCCTCTCGTCCTCGTCCTCGTCCTCGTCGTCGGGCAGGAGAACGTTTTGACGAACTTCTCGGCGCGCACAGCTGCACACGGCGAGGCCAAGCAGGCCGACTCGTCGCTTCGGTCGCTGTGCGAAGACTTGCCCGGCCTGTTGAACGACATGCAGAAGGAGACGGACGGTGCGTCCCCTCGTCCTCGCCGTCGTCATCTCGGGCCCGTCCCTGACCACCCCCTCTCTCTCGCCGCAGACCTCGCCACGTTCGAGCTCGCGCAGGAGCGCTTCCAGGCGACGGTCAACACGGTCGACTTTGCGTCGCGCGTCGCCCGCCTGCACCACACGGCCGTCATCTACACGCACGTGACGGCGCTCCTGCGGTTCCCGACCTACCCGATCACGTCGCGCAAGCTCGCCGTCTTTGCGCTCGCCATGACGCCCGGCCCGCTCGGCGTCAAGCTCGACGAGGCCGTCCCGTACCTCGACGAGAGCCGACAGTGCCCGAGGGCGCCAAAGGGCAAGACGCTCGAGGACATCTTGACCGACCTGACGCTCGTTCGGCGCATCACGTTCGGCAACCACGTCTCGGGCGAGGAGAACAGCCAGTGGGCCCGGTGGTGGAAGGAGGTGACGGACGACTGGAAGGGCAAGGGCAAGAACAAGAGCAAGCTGTGCGTCGACCGTTTCTCCGTCTCTCTACCTCTCTTTCTGTCGTCGTCGCCGCCGTCGGACCGAGCGCTCACCCTCTCATCATCGTGAACGCAGCCGAGACGAGCAACCCGTCGTGCCCGCCGCCAAGCGCATCAAGCGTTCCGTCTCGCCAGGTGCGCGCTCGCTCTCTCGATGCGCTCGAGCCTCTTCCTCGTCCTGACCCTCTCTGCCTCTCCCTCTCCTCTCTCTCCCTCTCCCGCCTCTCCTGCCGTCGCCTCGCAGACTCGGACGTCTCGACCGCATCCACCTCGCGCGCAAGCACCGCCGGTTCGACCAAAAAGTCGGCCGTCCGCCGCCCTCGCTCGCGCATGTCGAACGCCGGCGCCGCCTCGTGGAATCCTCGCCGCGACGGCTCTACGACGCCTGCCCCGGCCCCTGCCCCGGCCTCGACCGCGGCCCCGTCGGCGCGCGCGCCCAAGCCGGCCGGGTACAAGAAGGGCTACGCCTACATCGCGCCCGTCGCGCCCGCCGCGTCGTTCCCGCGCTGGGTCCCCGAGCGCAAGGGCACCCTCCCCAATGCGCGCGGCGAGCCGCAGCTGCCGCCCATCATGGACTCGCCGTGGTTCGTCCCGCGCAAGAAGAAGCTCCTCGGCGGCGGCATCGGCGGCGCTGGAGGAGGGGCGAGCGTCCGAGGCGGGAGCGTCGGGGCGGCGAGCGCGGCGGGCAGTGGGACGGGGAGTACGGGGCGGGGTGGGGGAGAGGGGAGCGTCGAGGGCGCGAGCGACGAGGAGGACGGCGAGGAGGAGCGCGCCAAGGCGCTCGGGCGCTCGGTCGCGCTGCACCGGCCTCGCCGGGGCGGGCTCGACATGAAGCCGTTCGACGTCAGCCTCCTGTGGGACTGAGTTGCTCTCCACCTTGTCCCTGTTCCCCTGTCCATGTCGTCCCTCGTCCTCGTTCCTCTCGAGCCACGCCCTCGCACTCTCTCGTTCCATTCGTCCTTGTCTTTCTTTATCGCAATCTCATCTCTCGACAGAGAAAGTTACCCGCTCTCGTGACCGTGGAATAGCACGTTGCAGAGAGCTCTACGAACGACAACAAGATGCGAGGCCGACAGCGAGAGATAGATAGATGGACGTGCGCCTGCGGCTCGACGAGGAGGATGACGGCGACGAGGAGTGGACAAGGCAGGGGGGGATAGGAGCACGAGAGAGAGAGAGAGAGAGAGAGCACGCAAGAGGGCTAAGGGCTCGCCGTCACCGACACGGTCCGGAACGACGTCGGGCTGTCCCACACTCGCTCCTTGCCCTCGTCCGCACCCAGCCCTCGCACGTTCTCCTTGACCGCCTCGAGCGCCTCGCTCGCTCTCGACGTCTGCTCTGAGCCGGGCGCCGAGCCGGGCTCGAGCGCAGCCGCACCCTTGAGCGCCTTCCTGCCCTGCAGCCTCGGGTCGCCCGGCGCGAACGGCTCGATGCGCCCTCCTTGGGGCGCGATGACGCCTCGCATCTGCCGCTGCAGGCACGCGACGACGGCTTGGCGTTTGGCGCGCGTCGAGAGGGCCGGGCGGACGCGGGTTGTCGTCGTGGAGGCGGAGGGTCGGGAGGAGGGGGTCTGTGCGGCGCGAGATCGAGGGACGGGATCGACAGCAAGAGGTGCCGTGACGGTGGAGGAGGTAGAGGACGAGGTCGATGGGCGAGGGAGAGTGGGCCCGAAGGTCGAGGTGCTGGTCGACGAGTCGAAAGGCGGGAGGAGCGCGGGCGGTCGTGCGGGAGGGAGCATCGCCGCAGCGCCTGGGGCCGTCGCCGGCGGGTACGTCGGCTTGTCGCCGCGACCGCCTCGAGTCGGTGACGAGAATGTGACCGATTTGCGCGGCGGCGGCGGCTTGGCGGACGTCGCGAGGCGGAGCGAGGTCGACGCCGGGCGGGGCGCAGCGAGCGCGGGTTCGGGCGTGACGTCGCGCGCGCTCGTGTGGGTGTGGCGCTCGGCGACGGCGGCGAGGAAGGGCGAGGGCATGTCGCCAGGCGGGTAGGGCGTGAGGGTGGAGGAGGACGAGACGGCGTCGAGCGGGACAGGGTGGGTGCGCTTTTGGCGCGCCGAACTCGACGTGCTCGAGGAGGGGCGGTGGCGGTCTCGCGATGCCGGAGCGACAGGCTCGACGACCGTGTCGGCGTCGCCGTCGGCCTCGTCCGCAGAGTCGCCCAACTCGAGCACATCGACGCTCGGCCGCTCGTCCTCGCTCGCCGGCTTCGCCCTCTTGCGCGCCCTCGGGCTCGCGCTCGCGCTCGGCGCCCGCTCGCCCTTTGCGAGTCGCTGCGCCCACGCGACGACCTCGTCGAGGACGTCCTCGCCGCCCTCGATGTTGAGCCCTTTGCGGCTCATCTCGGTGACCCACGCCGGCTCGATGAGGTCGCCGCCCTCGTCCTGCGGCGGCGTCTCCTCGCTCGGCTCGACGATGCGGCTCGTGCGACCGCCTCGGGCACGCTGCTGAGCGAGGACGCGACGGCGGTACTGCTCGGCCTCGTCACGTAGCTGGACCTCGCCGCCGGGCGCGAGGAGCGCGCCGAAGAGGGAGGGGAGCGAGAGGTACTGGTGCGCGGGTGCGACGGGGTCGTCGTCGGTGCAGGTGAGAGGGTACAGGGTGCGAGGGCGGAAGAGGGCGACGAGCGACTGAAGCTCGGGGAGGGACGAGTGTCGGGCGAGGGGGACGATCTGCGAGCACGACGGCAAGGACGGCTTGGTCAGTACGTGACGACAATGCAATGACGCAGAGAGGAGAAGACAGGGGACGCACCAACGCCTCAGGAAGCTCTGCCTCACTCCCTCCTTCCCCTCGCGCGCGCTTCTTCCCCTTGCCCGACTCGTCGTCTCGCCCTTGCCGCCCACCGTCCCGCTCCCGTCCCTGCCCATGCCCGTCTCGCGCCTTCCACGCGTCGATCCGACCCTGCACCTCGTCCCGGTAGGCGTCCCACCTCCACCTCGGCATCTCGCTCGGGTTGACGTACACGACCCTCGGCGCCCGTCCCGCCACCCCTCTCTGTCCCACGCGCCCGCCCTCGCCCTCGCCCTCGTCCTCGGGCAGCCGCTCGCCGCTCCCGGGCCGCTTGAGCCGCTTGGGCCCGCCGAGGAGCGGCACGTGCGCCGCCTCGAACGAGTACGACCCGAGGCCGTCCTGCCACACGTGGTCGCACTTCCAGCGGCGCTCGCACGCGTGGAAGCGCAGTGGTCGACGAGGTGGAGGTGGGGGAGGGACGCTGGACCGCGTCGAGGTGGTGCAGGTGCGCGTCGAGGAGGAGGACGACGAGGTGGTGGAGCGCGAAGCCGAGGTCGCGGTCGAGGCCGACGGGGCGGCGACGCCGGCGCGGAAGTGCAGCGACGGGGAGAGGCCCACGGCGAGTCGAGCGCTCGCAGGCGAGGAAGAGGTAGGGGAGGTCGAGGAGGGGAACGAGGCGGTCGTGCCGAGCGCGGCGAGGAGCGGGTCGGCGGCACGAAAGGGCGCAGACGTGTACATGCGGTGCTTGTACCAGTCGAGGTGGATCTGCGGCCGAAGGTGTGAGCGATCCTGCTCAGGCGCGAGAGGCTGAGGGGAGGGAGGAGAGCACGAGGGGCTCGAGGCACAGAGAGAGTGGACGGACCTCGTCGCCGAACGCTCTGTGCACGCCCTTGAGCAGCTCCTCGTAGCCCCAGGTCCACGTGTTGAGGAAGAAGCGCGTCTCGGGCGGGTACTGCGCCATGAGGTCGACGGCGGCCGCGACAGCTTGGTCCTGCGAGCGCGCGTGCGGGCTCGTCAGTCAGGAGACCCTCAGAACGGGAGAGGATGGAGGGAGAGAGAGTGGGCGCACCTTGGTGACGAGCTCCTCGTCGAGCAGGACGTTGCTCGTGTCGAGGTAGACGCAGTCGAGCGCCCTGGCCCTCCCGCGGTGCGCCTTGGCGCTCGTGCCACTGGACGGGCCCTCGACGTGCGCCTGGACCGTGCGTGGTCGAGAACCCGGCTGCGCGTGCGGCGGCGGCAGGTAAGGCTCGACGAGCGGGTTGTGTCGCAGGGCGTCGAGCCACCAGGGCTCGATGCGGACGTCGCCCGTGATGAGGACGGCGCGGTGCGTGCCAGCGACGACGCCCTCGATGAGGAACCTGCGAGTGGCGCGGGAGAGTGTGAGCTCGTCCGCCCTCGGTCGAACGCGAGGGTGAGGAGGGAGAGGGGGCGCACATGCAGGAGCCCGGACAGTGGTTGGCGTCGAGGGCGGTGATGGTGACGACGACGCCGTCGGGACCCTCGACCTCGAAGCGCGTGTTGAGCGGGATCTCCTTCTGCGGCGGGCGGGCAGCAGGTGAGCATTCACCCTGAAGGGCGGCAGCGAGCTGTGCGGGACACGAGGTGCGCCCGGGACAGTCGCGAGATGAGGAAGAGCGAGGACGCACGATCCTGTCGATGCCCGTCCCTTGACGACCGGCGCGCACCGACGCCCCTCCCGCGGTAGACGACGGCCGGCGCGCCTTGACCTTGCGCAAGTTGGCAAACTTGAACCTGCGGCCGACGCGGTGGCCGAGCTCCTCGTATCGGACGCGGTCGGCCGCCTCGATCGTGTCGAGGACGAGCTGCTTGGTGATGGGCGTGGCGTAGATCTGGCCGTGAAAGTGAGGCGAGTTGAGGCCTGCGCGAGGGTGGAAAGGCGGTCAGCAAGTGCTGCGGCGGCGGCGCGAAACGTTGCGGGAGGGGGAGAGAGTGAGGGTAGGAGCGTACCGGCAATGTGATCGGTGTGGGCGTGCGTCAAGAGGTAGAAATGCGGCGCCTTGGGCGTGAAGGGGTTGAGGGCGGCCGGGTCGCCGTTGAAGGCGTCGACGCGGATGAAGGGGAACTCCTTGACTGCGTGCAGGGGTCCCGAGTGAGCCTGTGCCTCGGGAGGGAGACAGAGAAGGGAGATAAGGGACGGACTGAAGCCGTGGTGGGTCGACATGGCCTTGAAGCCGAGCCGAGGGACAAGGACGGGGACGAGGCGCGTTCGAGCGCTCGTCTACCGCGTGGAGCGCGTCGCCGCCAGCTTGATGGTGACTGTTGAAGGTACAGGGCTGGTTCGAGAGCGCGACTGGCGCAGCAAGAGGCGAACTGGTCGAGGTTGAGCGCTGGGGCGATGAAGATGGGCGAGGTGCGCTGCGCTCGTGCGAGGGTCGAGGCGGGGCAGGGATGGGCGAGGGAGGTGCAGTAAGCGAGGGCGGGTGTGCTCGAGTGGGCTCTGCTGTCGGCTAGCACGAGCGAGACGAAGAACGACCCTCGACCTCGTCGCCGTCCTCTCGCTCGCCCCGCACCTCGATCTCACCGCCTCACTCCACCAGAGCGCGCACGAGCACCTGCAGCGACTCGACTGCACTCGCCCAGCTCTCGTCCCCCGAGCCCACCCGGCCCCGCGGTCAGTCGTCGTCATGCAGACCGCCCTCTCGTCGCTTCACTCGCAAGGTCGCAACGGCTCGTCTCTGCAACAAGCAGGACCAACAGCGACCGCAAGCACGACCACGCCCGACCTCGACCCGCTCCGCCTCCGCCTCGTCCAGCTCATCGACGCCGTCACCACCCTCCACACCCACCTCTCGTTCCTCGCCTTCCACTCGCCCACCCCGTCCACCGCCAACCCGGGCCTGCCCGCCTTTGCCGACCTCGTACAGCGCTACAACACCCTCTTGACCCACCTCACAGCCCTCCAGGGGCTCGTCAGCTCCCAGCAGGACCGCGACAAGGACCGCGAGCGAGAGCGCGACGAGGGCGAGCAGGGCGGCGCACTCGGCCGACGCACGAGGGCACAGCGCGACCGCGACCTCAAGCGCGAAAAGTGGGACTCGCTCGCCGTCGTTCCCACCGACAAGGTCGACGAGTCGCGCGACTGGATCGTCGGCATGCTCCTCCGCACAAAGCAGGCGCGCCCACCGCTCTCTCTGCCTCTTTCCTCGCTCTCGTGCTCCCGTCAACTGACTCTACACTGCGCCGACAGACGCCCGACGTCGAGGCCTCGCAAGCCGCACTCGTCAAGTCGCTCCCCGAGCCGTTCGCGTCCGCCCTCGTCCCTTCCCCCTCATCCACCCTCGCGACCGCCTCGACCCACTCGGCAGCACCACCAGTACCCGGCGCCGCCACCTCAGCGTCAACCTCGTTCGCCACGCTCGCCGCGTCGCACGCCCGCCTCGTGTCGCTCGCACACGACCGCCTCGCGGCGCTCAAAGAGTTCAACTCGGCGAGCGAGGAGTGGGACTGGAAGGCGCGCGTCGAGCTCGACGACAACGACGATGGCGACGGGGAGCGGGACGGCGAGGAGCGCGGGGGAGCTAGAGCCGGGGCTGGAGCGGGAGGAGGGAGCGCGCACGCGATGCAGGTCGACGACGACGGCGCGACCGAGGCCACGTCGGGCGCACCCGGGCCGCGCGCGTGGACGGTCCGCGAGGTGCAGGCGTTTATGCGGACCGGCGTCAAGCCGGTGCCGTAGCGGCGACGGTGGTGGAAGCGGGCGGTCGAGGGCGAGGGACGGCCTGCAACGCTCGGCGCTGCAGCGACATGAGCGCGACTTGGTTGGCCGTTCTCGAGAGCGGGAGGAGGCAAGCGAGAGCATGGTCCTGGAGGCCTTGTCGAGCAGGAACCGCGAGAGCAAGGTGCGGTGCTCGACCAAGCGCGAGACGGTCGTCCCGGTCGTGCGACGACGAGGCGAGCCAGATCGTGCCGAGAGCCGACCGTTGAGCGCCTGGCCGAGAGCAGACTGTCTTCAGGACCGACTGTCGGGTCGATAGGCGCAAGCAACAGCGAGCCAGAGGCCGAAAGCTGAGCGAAGAGAGGCGAAGCGAGGAGGAGAGAGCGAGGACGAGGACGGGCAGCCGAGGTGCACCGCCGCTGAGCTGCCGAGGGCGAGCACAAGCCGTGCACAACAGCGAGCGGCAGATCCAGGTTGGTGCCGAGAGCCGACAGAGGCGGGAGATGGACGAGGAGGAGGAGGGACGCGCGGGTGCTCCTCACCTCGCTCACCACATCACGAGGCTGCCAAGATGGTAGGCACTCGGTCACTTGCGCTGTCTCTGCACCCTGCAGACCCACCAGTGCAGCGCGCTGACCCGCCCTTGCCCTTCATCGCCGTCCCCTCCTCCCCCTCCCCTCTCCCCCATCTCGCCGCACCTGTCCTCCTCGCCTGCCACCACCGGACGCGCAGAAGCAAACCTCCAAGCTGTCGATGATCCTCCAGCACCGCGTCAAGGTCGTCCTCAACGACTCGCGCGCCCTCGTCGGCCAGCTCCTCGCGTTCGACAAGCACATGAACCTCGTCCTCGCAGAGTGCGACGAGTTCCGCCGCGTCAAGCGCAAGCACTCGGCCGCCCAGGGCAACAAGGAGGACGGCGCAGACGACGACGACGACGAGATGAAGCGCACCCTCGGGCTCGTCATCCTCCGCGGCGAGACCATCGTCACCCTCAGCGGTCCGTCCCCGCCTCTCTCTCTCTGTGACCCCGCACCGCCTCACTCCTGACGCTTCGTCTATGCCCACAGTCGAGGGTCCGCCTCCCGCAGTCGACGACAAGGGCCTCGCAGGCGTGCGTCCCCTTCCCCCTACCTCCTCCTCGTCCAGCCTCCTCGCGCGTCCACCTGCGCATCCCGCTCACTCTTTGCCCACCCTGCCGCAGCTCGCTCCGGGACCTGGCTTCGGTGCGCCTGCCGGTCGCGGCATGGGTCTCGCCGCCCCGCCAACCATGTGCGTCCCCCTCCCCTCCTCCTCCTCCCTCTCGAGCAGCTCACTGACCCTCGCCGTGCACGTCCTGCAGGCGGCAAGCGCCCCAGTCGTTTGCGCCCCCGCCTGGCATGCCCGGCATGGCGCCGCCCCCGGGCTTTGCCCCGCCGCCCGGCTTCGCGCCGCCGCCCGGCTTTGCTCCTCCCCCTGGGTGCGTCCCCTCGGCTCCCACGTCGCCGCCGCTCGTGCCCGCTCGGAACGAGCGAGTGGCGTGTCGTTGTGACGAGGCCGAGGACGCTGACTTGCCCTCGTCGCCCTGCAGCTTTGCGCCCCGGTAGACGGCGCGCGCCTCGTCGCTGTGCGTGGAATCGTCAAAAGCCTCCCGTCGTGCGGCGGTACCAGTTCCTCCCTCGTCGTTCTCCCCTTCTCGCTTTCGTCCCTCTCCCTCCTGTAAGAACACGGTGGCTGTCTCTCTCAGTGGGCGGGCGGCGAGAGCGCGAGAGCGAGTGAGTGAGGGAGCGAGAAAGCCCCACCTTTGACCGGCGGTGGGCGCGGTCGGTGGGCCCTTGTGAGCACTTTGGAGAGCTGTACGAGGCGTGTGAACCTGGCCTGGGCGAGGTAGAGAGAGCGCCCGACTCGCCAGCTTCACCGCCTCGTCGCCTCTCTCGGTCTTGCACTCTCGCGCTCGACACGATGGCGCCGGCTGCTGCAGCGAGCACGACGCTCGACGACATTGTCTCTGTCATCCTCGCCACCGACCCGGCCGAGGTCCCTCAGCGTGCGCCCACCTCTCGCTCCTCCTCCCCACCTCGTCCTCATCACTCACGCACACCCCCTCCCCCCTCGCCCTGGCCGTCCTTCATGCGCCCCACGCAGTCATCACGCACCTCAAGAAGCTCGAAAAGGCGCGCTCGAGCTCTGCCGCCCCCTCGGGCTCGCGCTCGTCCGCCGCCGTCGCCTCCGCCGCCGCCTCGACCAGCACGGGCGCCACCACCTCGTCGGCGGCTGCGGCGGGCGACGGAGCGGGCTCGAGCGAGGGCCGCAGCTTCCTCGAGGGCAAGCTCGAGGGCGGGCAGGACCCGCTCCGGGTGCTCGACCCGGCGAGGCACGCCGTCGGCGTCCTCTACATCCTGTGCGTCGACCCTCGTCCTCGTTCACGTCCGACTCGTGAGGGGTCCCAGTCAGACCTCCACAGTCCACTGACTGTTCGGGTACACGTCGACGCAGGAACGCGCGTCTCGCAGGCGCAGCAGACGACCTCGGAGCGCTCCTGAGGGCGGCCCACGCATGGGTCGAGCGCGCCGACATGGACCAGGCGAGGCTCGTCCCGGAGCAGGGTCAGTCACCTCTCTCTGCGCCTTGGCCGAGCCACGTCGCCGCACGGCGCGGCGCACTCGAGCTCGTCCTCTCGTCCGCTGTGCGACTGACTCGTCTTCCCGCGCAGTCTTCTTCCTCGCCACCCAGCTCGCCCAGATCGGTGACGCCACGTCGCAGGTGCGTCCCCTCCTTCCTCTTCGTCGCCTTTGCGCTCGCGCGTCGCACGGCGAGCTCACTCGGCCCGTCCCTCGGCCGCAGTACCCGGCGACCGTCCCGACGCTCGCCGTCCTCGTTCAGCGCTTTCCGCACCAGGGCTACCTTACGGCACTGCATCCACTCTTCCTTCGTGTGCGTCCTCGTCCTCCATCTCCTCCTACCCTTTCGCTCCAGTCGGCCGAGCCTGGCCGGGCGAGGAGAGCGACACACTGACTCGCCGAGCGCTCGCGCCGTCACAGGTCGTCATGACGAGCGGCATGTACCGCGTTGCAAAGGGCATCCTCATGCGCGACATGACCGACATCGACAAGCAGGCGCGTCGGCCCGTTCACTCAGCCTATCCTCGAGCCCGTCGCGCAGAGTGACCCGGTGCGACGGGCTCGAGGATTCTCAGGCGCGTCGCGTTGGCGCACTCTCTGACACCGTTCGTCGTGCCGCCTACAGCTGTACCCGGTCAGGTACCAGGACCACCTCCTCTACCACTACCTCGGCGGCACCGTCCTCGCGCTCCTCGGCGAGTACGCCCGCGCCGCCGAGCTTCTCGAAATTGTGCGTCGCCCATCTCTCTTTCTCTTCCTCTCTCTGTGTCATTCGTCGTGCCGCACACCATGTGCGGTATCGCCGAGAGCTCAGAACGAGCGTGCCCGAGCGGCGCTAACGACCTCGTCGACTTCTGCGCGCAGTGCGTCTCGGCGCCGGGCTCGCACGTGAGCCTCATCCAGCTCGACGCCTACAAGAAGCTCGTCCTCGTGCAGCTCATCGCGCACGGCAAGGTGCGTCGAGTCTTCCGCCTGTGTCGCTCGCTCCGGGCGGCGCGCCACCCGGAGCTGGCTCCTCCAGTCAGAAGGCGGCGCTCGACACTCAGTCGCCCTCCCTCAGACGCAGCCGCTGCCCAAGTACACGACGAGCGCGTTCGGCCAGGCGGCAAAAGCGCTGTGCGTCCCGTACGCCGAGTTCGCGACGGCCTTTGCGACGCTCGACACCGGGCGCGTCAAGCTCGCGAGCGCAAAGGGCAGGGAGACGTTCGAGCAGGTGCGTCTGGCGCTTGTCGCACTTCTCCTGTCGGGCGCGTTCTGCCGCCCTGTGCGAAGCGGCGCGCTCGTTCCTTGTCCACCCAGCCCAGCGACCTGACGCACGAGCCCTTTCGTGCCTGCAGGACCACAACGCCGGCCTCGTCTTTGTCGTCGAGCGCTCGCTGCGCAGCCGCCAGATCGTCGACCTCACGGAGACGTACATGACGCTGTCGCTCGGCGAGATCGCGAGCCACGTCGGCGTCGACCCGCAGGACGAGCAGGGGCTGAGGGACGTCGAGGGCGAGCTGAGGCGCATGGTGCGTCGGCCGTTTCGCTGTTTGAGCAAGGGGCTGCGACGCCGAGCGCGGAGCAGCTCCTCGCTAATCCCATGCGAAAAAGACTGACGCATCAGCTCAACGTCGCAGATCGCCAACCGTCTCATCTTTGCGACGCTCTCCCTTCCCTCGACCGCCTCGTCGTCGACCGCCGCCACCCTCGCCGCCACGACCGTCTCGTTCACCGACGACCCCGAGCCGTACCTGTCGCCCGAGACGGTGCGGCGCATGACGAGCGCGATCGAGCGCGCGCAGCGCCTTGACGCACAGTGGGCGTGGGAGGCGGACCGGGTCGAGGAGAGCAAGGAGTTTGCGGCCAAGGTGCGTCGCTCGACGTCGAGCTTTCTCTCTCGACCATCCCTTCCTCCCCTTTCTTCGTCGCCGCTCTCCTCCCTCGCCCTCCTCCTTCTCGTCGCTCGCCTCTCCCTCTCTTTTCCTTGCCTTCCCCGTCTCTCCCTGCCCTCGCTCCCTATATCTCTCTTCCTCGTTCGCGACGCTCGCCGCAGAGGATCAACGCGAGCCTTGTGCACGTCACTGACCTGTTTGCCCCGTCCTCGCCCTTCCCTCTGCCCTCCTCCCTCTCTCGCCGCCCTCGCCAACCGCACCCTTCCTCTCTCTCTCCACCCGTGACCTCATGCAGGCCTGGTCCGCCGCCGCCGCTCCTCTTCAAGCCGCATCCTCCTCGTCCGGCGGTGGTGCGGGAGCGTTCGGCGGCGGCGGCGGCGGCTTCGCCCCTCCCGACTTTGACGATTTTGACGGCGGATCGCCTGGCCGGTTCGGGGGCAAGAGCGGTGGAGGGGACGGCGGTTGGGACGGCATCATGGTCGACGACAGCGACTGAGGCGCTCGGTCAGGACGAGGAGGTCGAGGCGGGGCGGCGAGGAGGGGCTTGAGGCGACGAGTCGAAGCTGTGCATAGCCCGCTTTTCTCTCTCGGTCTCTTTCTCGCGAGACTCTCGAGAGTCGTCATCCTTCTGGGCGAGAGAGACTCTAGCGTCTACTGCAATGTCGGCTCCCGTCTGCTTGCTCCTCCTCGTTCTACTTGAGCGCCTCGCGCACGCTGCTGTTGTTGAGGAACTGGGCAAACTTGGGCTCGACAAAGAGGCACCTGCACGAGTCGGCCGTGTGCGAGAGTCAGGCGTCTGTTCGAGGCGACTCGAGGGGGCCCAAGAAACGCGGAAAGAGGGAGAGAGAGGGTTGGAGGAAGGAGACGCACTCTGCCTCGACGAGCGTCGTGCCCTCGGCGTCCTCGATGCGGCCCTGGACCCATGCTTTGCGCCCTTGCTGCTTGACGAGCGAGGTGCGCACAACGAGGTATTGGTTGGCGAACGTCGGCTTCTTGTACTTCATGGCGAGCGTCGCCGTGACGCCGATGTTGCTCGGCAAGTTGAGGAGGGCCTGCGGGGAGCAGAAGCATCAGTGTCGGCAGGGAAAAGAGAGGACCGGCAGGAGACGGGGAGAGAGAGAGAGGGACGCACAGTGCGGCCCATGGCCTCGTCGAGAACGGTCGCGAGCAGCCCGCCGTGGACGACGCCCTCGTGGCCGCACAGGCCATCGCCGACATGCACGACGAGGACGCTCTCCTTCTTGTCGGTCGTCGTGAAGACGAGCGGCGGCACGGCAAACTTGCCCGGCCCTCGCAAGGCGTAGCCCGAGAGCGAGTGCGGGCCGGCCGGGGTCGAGGCGTAGGGGCGCGAGAGGGTGTAACGCGGCGACAGCGGGGTGTCGCTCGGCGAAATGTCGCCGGCGGTCGAGGCGGCGGCCGCAGCCTGCTGCTCAAGGGAGGTGGACGAGGAAGAGGAAGAGGGGGGAGGTGGGGCGAGGAGCGAGGCGGTGGGCACGACGTCCTCCTTGAGGCGCTTGACGACGTCGAGGTTGTGCAGGCCCTTCTCGATCGAGTCGCGGATCTCGTGCGCGTCCGGGTGGTCCTTGGGCGGCGGGTGCGGTGTCGGGAAGGGGAAGACGAGCGACAGGAGCTGAGGTCGAGGGGCGACGAGCGCGACGGCGTACCCGGCGACGAGCCCGGTCGACAGGAGCGCGGTCGACAGGAGGAACAGGGACCGCTTTGGCGGTGCGCCCGTGTTGGCCGAGGTCGAGGGAGCCCGGGCGAGTGAAGGTCGGGACGACGAGGTGGCCGTCGACAGCAACCGGCGCGGTGGTGCGCCCGCCGAGGTGGTCCACGTGCGAGGGAGCACGCCGTGTGCGACTCGCTTGGCTGCCGTCATCGCTGTGCAGTGCGGCGAGAGAGGGACGGACGAGGGCGAGGCCGGCGCTGTGTGCCGGACTCCGGCTCTCTCGCAGGAACGAGTCTCACAAATTCGAGTGCGGCATTACAGCCTCGCGTATCGCTCGACGAGCCACGCCTTGACCTCCTCAAACTCCTGGCTCCCGAGCTGGTGCCCCATCCCAGCGTGCGCCGAGAACCTGAACTTGCCCGGCTTGCGACCGCCCTCGCCGCCCTCGTCCAGCTCGAGCTCGTCCACCAGGTACCGCCGCCCGCTCTGCGCTCGCTCGAACGAGATGACGCTGTCGGCCGTGCCGTGCGCCCACAGGATGGGCGTCTCGAGCGCCGTCGGCGACAGGTGCTGCGCGACAGCAGCTGCGTGAGCCCTCATCTCGGGCCCGTGCAAGAGGGCGAGAGAGAGAGAGAGAACAACGCGGGGACGCACCGACTTGATCTTGTCAGCGTGCGTGAGCCCGAGGAAGCCCGACAGGACGCACACGCCGCCGAGCTGCCGAGGCGAGGTGAGGCCCGTCAGGAGCGAGATGACGCCGCCTGCGAACGACGGAAAGGACGGGTGTGGGCGCGAGGGTCAGTGCGTGTGTCGAAGATGGGTGGACGAACTCGGCGACAAGTGCGCTGGGTCTCTCCCACTAAGTCACACTCGACGAGCGAAAGTCGCGACGCACCTTGGCTGAACCCGCCGACCACGACCCGGCCCTCCTCTATCCCCTCCTCGTCCACCTCGTGCTTGACGAGCTCCTCGAGCTGCTGCACCGAAGCGGCCATGCCGTCCGTGTCCTCCTCGGCGGCGGGCGCGTTCGGGCGCGAGATGTCGTACCTGCGAGTCCGCCGAACGAGGTGGGTCAGTTCGGCTCGAGGGGGCTTCCGGCGATGGCGAGGAGGAAGTAGAAGTACCATGACGGCATCTCGGCGTGGTTGATCGTCACGAACCGCTTGGGCCTGTCGAGGTCGAAGACTGTAAGCTCGCGGCAAGTCGTAGAGGCGCAGCCGACCACCTGGACGGCCGCACGCCTGAAGAGAGGGAGAACAGGGGACGCACGCGTTCGTCAACACCCACTTGACTCCCTCGAGCCCTTGCACGCGCGTCAACGCCTGCGCGAAGCTGCGCCAGCCCTGCGCCGTGTCGCCTAAGCCGCTGCGGGTGCACGAGTCCTGGGTCAATGCGCGCCCTCACTGACGGAGTGATACCGCTCGTACGAGAACAGGGGACTCACTGCGACCAGATGACCGTGCCCGTGTGCTCGACACCCGCTGCAGGCCGCAGCACGATCGGCTCGCCCATGTCCGGCACCGCGACGGCGTCGGGTCGCGGGACGAGCGGGACCGGCCGTGGGACCGCCGCAGCCGTACTCGAGCTCATGCTGTGCGCGACTTGCGCGAAAGGCGCGGTCGGGAGGCGGAAGCGCAACACGATGATGGCGAGGAGGGGTGCGAGGAGGGTGAAGAGGAGGGCGTGCCGTGGGCGGAGCAGCGAGCTGCGAGGTTGCGCGGGTGCGGGCGGTTCGGGTGGCGGAGAGGACGGCAGCTTGGCGGCTGGGTGAGGCGGTCGCGCTGGTGGTCGAGCGTGTGGAAGTGGGGCGGAGAGGTCGAACGCGTCGAGGCGGAACGGGCGTCTGAGGATGGACGGTCGGCGAACCGTTGAGCTCCGTAAACGCTGTGCAGCTGTGCACTGACCAAAGCGCTGAGGAACGGCATGCAGTGCGAAGGGAGACAGAGAAGCGGCGAGCGAATTCATCCTCTCGCCAGCGGCGCGCCGAACACTTGCGCGCCTCCCTGAAGCTTCGTGTGCTCCTGTACGGGAGCAAAAGATAGGAACTACCGGCTGCCAAGTTCGCCAGAGCGACGGTCAAACGCGCAAAAAGAGAAGCGACCAGAGCAGGACTTGAACCTGCGCAGGCAAAGCCTAATAGATGGCGAGTTGATTCGAGTCTATCCCCTTAACCGCTCGGGCATCTGGCCTCTTGAATAACAGCCGGCCGACATTAGCAATATCAAACAGCAGCAAAAAAGGGCGGCAAAACGATGGCGGCTCCGCGTCCTCTGCCCCTATCTGATTCAGGTAGACAAAGAGCGAACCTGCAGGAGGCGTTGGTCCTTCAAGCAGGGGAAAGCAGAGGCACAGCGACGAGGCGACGAGGGACGAGCAGGAGAGAGGGAGGGGCCTGAGCGGCCTTCTCAAAGGGCGACTGGCCGACAGGCACACGACCTTTTGCCCCGCTCTCGAGCCTCGAGCTGTCCGTTCTCGCCTCGAGGAGTCGAACGAGACGGCGTCGAGCGACCGGGAAGAGAGAACTAGCGCGACCAAGGACAGTCGAGCTCCGCCTCCTCTTGGTCTCGGACGGGCCTCTCCTCTCGGGCTCTCGGGCTCGCAGCTGCTCAGTCACAGCCTCAGAAGCTGGTTCTATTGTATGCAGGCGTCGGTGTCGGGCGCAGAAGGCATTTCGGACGAGTGTCGACCCGGACGAGTTGGCCTTCTCAAGCTGCGAGCTGCGCAAGAGAGGGCGACGCTGCGCCTCTCTCGAGCTGAACACGTCCCAGCTCTCTCTCGCGACAGTGTACGAGGCTGTGCGTCGAGTCTCGAGAGCAAAGGAGCGAAGCCGAGAGGGTTGAGCGAGGTCAAACTGCTTCGCTTTCACCTCGCCGGGGAGAACGGTTCACTCAGCTACGAGTGTGCCCTCTAGCACTGTCTCGAGTCCCTCTGCACGTGATATATTGAACCCTCGAGCGCGTCCTGAAAGCGCAGAGCCGAGAGCGAGAGCACCAGCTCGAGACGCGACGAGACAAAGACGAGGTTCTCCCGCTCTCGAGCAAGAGTCGCGCCTTGTCTCTCTCTCTGCTCGCTCGCGAGCTTTCGCGAGGACACTCAGGATCATGTGTCGACCTGTCCTGCACGTCCTCGAGCTGTGTGGCAGCACGTCGAGACGTTCGAAGAGCGCCGAGTGTGGGGAAGTGGCGGAGCTGGCACGCGCGCTGTCCTCTCGCGCCTCTTTTTCTCGCTTCTCGCTCGCCGTCTCGCTCAAGGGGGGTCGTGTTGCGTACCCAGACCTGCAGGAGAATATGCTCGAGACGCTGGTGACCTTCGCAAGTCGAACCGTGTCGAGGTGCGAGAGAGAGGACCGACTGAAGGTGAACCGAATGCGTCGGGCGTGCGTTTGCAAAGTTGACCTTTCCTTTGTCGAACCGGCTTGGCTCATCGGCTCCCTCTCAGCATGCCACCAGAGCGGAGGCTTTCCTGCTACAGGACCGTCCGCTCACCGACACTTTAGCTCTGTGCAGCGTTAAGGACGACTTCCCGGTGTGGCTCCGGTTGAAGAATGCCTCGCTGTAGGATGCCTATGCAGTCACTTCGCGCCTTGCGCTTTCTCTTCTTTTGGCTCTCGTCGCTTCTTTCGCCTTTGCGCCGCCCGCAGGCTCTGCTCTTTTTTGCTCTCTCTTTTGCTGCTGCTGCTGCTGCCTCGAGCCGGAGCTTGAGCTCGCTCGCGCCCTTGGTCGCGCACGAGTCCCTCGCCTCGGCCTTTGTGCGCCTCTCTCTTTCTCTCTCTCTCTCTGAGAGAAGCTCCGACTCGTGCTCGTTGCGAATCGAACCTCGGCTATGCATTTTCAATGATCGCGATCCGGTTAGGCTCGAACGCTGGTCAAGCTTCACTTGAACTCGCTTTAGACTTTTTTGCTATTCCGGCTCGCGTCGATCGGCTCTTTCGCTCGCCAGGGATCGAGCGCGTTCTTTGCGCGCTCACCTGTGCAGCTCAAAGGTCGACCTGCGACTACGATGCAGGAGGCATTGCGGCGACGAGGCGACGAGGCGACGAGGCACGAGCAGTCGAGAAAGAGGCCCGAGCGGCCTTCTCAAACGGCGACGGGCCGACGAGCGCACGACTTTATGCGGCTCTCTCGAGGCAGGTGCCGAGTAGAATAGCAGGCTGCACGTTGCGGCGCGAGGCGACATGGGCGAGGTCGAGGAAGGAGATGAGGTGGGGGTCGATTGCGAGAGCGGCGGCGACCTCGCGTTGAGGATGACGGTTGGACCCTGCGCGGCGCAACAGTGTCAGCAGTCACGACTGTGAGGTCTGGCGTGCGCTCCTGTACAGGCCGCGGTCGGCCAACGTGGCCGAGAGGGGGGCGTGTGGAGGAGGGGGGACGAGGAGAGGGGCTCAGAGGCTCGTTCAAGCGGCTGCTCGGCTCGCGGGCGATGCCGATGGAAGCAGAGAGGCCGCAGCAGGCGCGGCCCACCGCTCTGGCGGAGGAGCGGGTCGAGGTGGAGAGCGACACGGACCGCAGCCGCCGGGCCTCGCTCAGATTTCAGATTTGCTCAGAATCGGCGAACGCTCACGAGTCTCGCTGTCGTTGAGCGGGCCGGCTCTCTCAAGACGAGCGTGCAGCTCTCGGGACGCTCTCATGGACGCTCACCGGAAGACGACGAGAATGACTGCGCGAGAAAGGGGGCCAAGTCCTCGTTGCACTTTCGGCGAGAGAGCGCCGCTTCACACGGCTCGCACCGGCTTGCACTGCCTCTCGAGCCACCTGCAGACCAGCACGACGAGGAAAGTCGGTCAGATCGCCGTCGTCTTGGGTATGCGAGAAGGGTTAGGGGGTCCGAGCGAGAGAGGGAGACGCACTCGAGCGCGAGTTGGTCGCCGGCATCGCGGACGAGCGGCCCGACCTTTGCGAGGACCTCGGCGTTGTACGAGTTGAGCCACTCGAGCTCGCGCATCTCGAGGAGCGACGGCTCGACGAGGTTGGTCGCGATCGGGCACTGCGAGGCGGGACGAGCGTGGCGTGAGCGGGCCCGGTTCGCTCGACCCAGAGCGTGGCTGGAAACGAGGAGAGGGCGAGGACGCACCATAGTGAGGTGCTCCATGGCAAGGTACTTGACGCCGCCGAACGAGTGCTCCGTCTTGGCCGGGACGACGCACACGAGGTTCTCGATCCGGATGCCGAACGCGCCGTCGTGGTAGTAGCCCGGCTCGTTCGACAGGATCTGGTGCGGCTCGAGCTGCATGTACGAGAGAGGGAGGGGCGTCGTCAGTGACCGTCGCAGGAAGGGAAGGCTGGAAAAAGGAGGGAGCGAGGCACACCTTGACGTCGTTGTACGCGACGCGCGTCCCGATGCCCATCGGGCCCTCGTGCACGTTGAGGAAGTGCCCGACGCCGTGACCGGTCCCGTGGCGGTAGTCTGCGGGTCGGCGCAAGGTCTGTCAGGTGCCGCTCGAGGTGGACCGCGAGGCGGCGAGAGAGGGAGGGAGGAAGGAAGGGAGCGTGGGGCGCACCGAGGCCATCCTGCCACAGCGCCTTGCGCGCCCATGGGTCGAGCATGTAGCCCGTCGTCGTATCGGGGAAGACGGCGGCGTCGATCGCGATGTGGCCCTGGAGGACGCGCGTGTAGGCGCGCTTCTCAAACGCCGTCGGCTCGCCAAAGTGGAGCGTGCGGGTGACACTGCGGGCCGACAGAGCGGTCAGTTGACGTCGACAGGTTGGCGCTCGAGAGAGAGGGAGACAGGGGGAGGAGGAAGGAGGAGGAGGGACGCACTCGGTCGTGCCGTCGGTGAACTGGGCGCCCGAGTCGCACAGGTAGATCTTGGTCGGGTCGATGACGGCGCTTCTACCGTCCGACGGTGGCGAGTAGTGGATCACGGAAGCATTGGCGCCGGTCGACGAAATGGTGGAGAACGACAGGCCGCGGAAATGGGGCAACTCGCTGTTGAAGGGAGGGGCCGGCGCACAGTGAGCGTCGTCGACCATCGACAGGCCGTCGCCGGCCAGCTCGAGAGAGGAAGAGGAAGGGTGGGACGCACCTGCGGAACTGCTCGAGCTTGGTCGCCGCCTCGTACTCCCTCAGCTCGCCCGCTCCTCGCGCGAGCTCGTTCTCGAGCCAGGCAAAGTACCGCACGAGGGCGACGCCGTCGCGCACGTGGCAGTCGCGGAACCCTTGCACCTCGGTCGGGTTCTTGACGGCCTTGAGCGACGAGATGGGCCCGCGAGTCGACGTGACGCAGCGCGCGAGGGTGAGGGCGAGGGCGGAAGCGAGGTTGGTGCGCGAGGGGAGGACGACGAGGTCCTGTGGCGGCGAAAATGGAGGAAGAAGAGAGTGTCAGGATGAGACTGCGTCGCCGTAAGGCGCGAGGCGGACGACTTGGGCCGGCACGCGAGACAAGAGGGCGAGAGGGCGCACCTGCTCCGAGAGGACCTTGCTGACGCCCTCGAGGAAGGCGACAAAGTCGTCGTACGGCTCGATGAGGACGTCGAGCTGGGTGAGGTAGTCGTAGGTGGCCTGCGGGACCTGGTCGAGGTCGATGAAGAGGGTCGGGCGCGACGCGGTCGCGGTCGGGAGGACGAGGTAGGCGAAGAAGACGGGGTTGTACGGGATGTCGGAGCCGCGCAGGTTTAGAAGCCCTGTGTGTGCGCGGAGGGGAGGGTCAGGCGTGGATCGAGGGGGTGGGACGACGAGAGGGCAAGGCGGGCGCACAGGCGATCTCGTCGAGCTGGGTCACGACGAGGCCCCAGCAGCGCTTGTCGCCCGACTTGGCCTTGGCGTCGCCGCCAAAGACGTCCTGCTTGTCGAGCTCCTTGCGGACGCGCTCGATCTTGCTCCTCGCGCCCTCGCCGGCGTGCTCGTCGGCGAGGACAAAGACGTCCTCCTTTGGGCGCTTCGGCTTGCCGTGCTCGCCGGCGCTCGCGTCGCGCGCCTCGGCGTCCCACACGATGTCGACGAGGTTGTTGCGCACGGGGACGAGCTCGACGCCGGCGGTCGCGAGGGCCGGGGCGAGGGCCGTGTAGTCGGCGACAGCGATGAGGGCCGGGTCGAGGCCGATGCGGGCGCCGCGAGGGAGGGCCGACGACGAGTGGGCCGGGGTCGTGAGCCACTCTGTCCACGAGGGGACCGAGGGGACGCCGTGCTTCATGAGGGTCCAGTCGGGCGACAGTTGTTGAGCGGCTTGCTGCGCGCAGAGTGGGGCGCGGTCAGGCAAAGGGTGCGCGGCGCCCGACACGAGGGCAAGGGGGTAGGACGGACCTGGTGGTAGCGGCCGTCTGTCCAGAGGAGGGCCTGGTCGAGGAGGACGATGGCGGTGCCGGCGCTGCCGGTGAAGGCAGAGAGCCAGGCGCGACGGTCGTCGAGCGGGGCGTTGTACTCGTTCGAGTGGGCGTCTGACGAGTCAACGATGTAGGCCTGGAGGTTGTGCTTGTCGAGCTGGGTGCGCAGTGCGGCGAGGCGCGAGGTCGAGGCCATGGTGGTGGTCGACGAGGAGAAGCGGCGAGTCGGGTGCAAGGCGAGCGAGCGGGCGGGCAGTCGAGCGAGGCTCCTGAGCATGCACTGGCTCGCAGCTGTGCGAGTGAGACGAGCGAGAGGGAGAGAGCGCGAGCACCGCGTGGGAGATGGAGGTGGGGGAGGAGCAGGAGCTCGCCCTCGCATCTCTCGCCCTCGACCACAGGCTGGCGAGCTGCGCTCTCTGGCCAGACCAGCTACTGCTCTACTACCCGACCCGGTCCTTGTCGCCCTGCGCGAGGCCGTCGCCGCGTCTGTCTCGTCCCGCCTCGTCCTCATCTCGACAACTCTCCCAACTCGACCCTCGACCTCTGCCGACAGAGCCGCCTCGACAAAGCACTCTCACCCACTCGACATGCGCAGCTGCAGCCGGTCCACCCCGTCTCGAGCGATCTCCGGCACCTCTCGCTCGCCCGCCCTCACCTTGCCCGCCGACCCCTCGTCATCTGCCCCCGCGCCGACTCGCCGTCACCTCGTGCGTCGGTCACGCAACTCGGAAGATCGACTGCGCCGCGCCACTGGCTCCTCACCGACCACCCATTCCCCCTCCGCCCTCGCCATCCTCCTCCTCGCCCCGACGTCCCCTCTCCTCGCCAATCACCCCTCCCGCCCTGCTTCCATCACCGACCACTCGCTCCAGCAGCGTCTACACGCGCCCTGGAGTGTCTTTCCGTACGCGCGCGCCGGCGCGCCGGCCCGCCCACTCGTCCCGGCTCTCTCGACCTCGCCCTACTTTCTCGTCCACCAGGCCCTCGCAACTCGTCGCCACCGACACTCGAGTCCAGCACCACCAGCACGTCCACGATCACCCGTCGTCGACATCCCTCGACTCGCAGCACCTCGACGGCGCGCGCGCCGGCCACCTCATCCCGACCTCCGACCACCTCGCAAGCAGCCGGCCAGCTTCTTGGCAGCTTCGAGACCCTGATGGCCCGAGCGAGGAACGTGTCAGTTCGTCGAGCTTCACGGTCTCGAGGAGTGCAGCACGAGCGGCGACCTTCCCTCGGCGGGCGCATGCCGGACCGGCGTCGAGCAGGGCGAGCAGGTGCGTCCACAGCTTTCTCCTCTCGGTCGGTGCGGGCTTCTCGACGTAGTCAAGACGGTCCTGACACTCCTTTTCCGGCTTCCGCAGCATGTGGGCGGCTCTCGGTCGACGCCGACCACGTCAAGAGAAACTCGCGGTCCGTCCCCCTCCCTTCCTCCCATCCTCGTTCTCCTCGCGAGCCATGTCGACCTGACACGTCTCCCTCCGTGCTCAAGGTCAAGTCGCACATCTCGCCAACAAGAGCAGCTCGTCGACCTCGTTCAGCCTGTCGCTCGACGAGCCGCAATTTGGCGGGCGAGGTCTCGGCGAGCACCGACCGCCCACCCGCCGACCGGGCGACCCGGTGCCGCTGCCGCCCAGGATCAACGAGATCGGGTCGTTGGCGTGCGGGTCGTGCAGCCGACGTCGACGAGGGAGCACGAGGGCGAGGACAGCGTCTCGGATTTTGTTCGTCGGCCGTCGCCTGTGCAACTGAGCGAGGTCGTCTGGTCTCTCTCTCGTCGAGCGCCGTGTGTGAGAGAGAGTGGGCGGGATCCGGGTAGATCGCTCCCCGCTCAGTCGACGACGGAGAGAGAGCGGAGAGAGGAAGGACCCCCACAGCTTGCGCGCCGCCCACCTCGTTGCGGCCCTCGTCCCTCTCCCCCTCCCTCGCTCTTCACGCTTCCCCTCCTGCGCCTCAAGGTCCAGCTTCTCGAGTCGACATGGCACAGCAGCGCAGCGTTCACGATCACCTTTTGTGCGTCTCCCTCTCTCTTGGTCGCCCGCGTCGCTCGCACCGCACCGTCGAGCTGACCTTGAACGTCATCCCCGTCCTCCCCCTCTCGTCGTCCCTGTGCGCCCTGGGCCCTCTTTGCTCGCCCGTGTGTGTCTGTGCAGGTTCGAGGTCGCATGGGAGGTGGCCAACGTGCGTCCCCTGTCTCTGTGTCGTCGTCGTCGCCGTCCATCTTCTCGCTCGCGTCCCCCCACCTCCTCGCCGCCCCACGCCTTCTCAACCTCGCCGTCGCCGCCAGCCAGCGCCGGTCCTCGCCCGCCATCGTCGTGCCACCCGTACTGACTCTACTGCCCCCCCTCCCCTCGTCACCCCCTGCAGAAAGGTGCGTGCTCGTCCTCAACCTCGTCCGATTCGCCTTCCGCTCTGGGACGACGGCCGCGCCTCGAGCCAGCTCTCCCCGCCCACCCGCTCCACCGCCTGCCCCTTGCAACAAATCAGCCAGATCACCTCGTGCACCCGAGCGACGACCGCTCGACGCCGGGCGCGAGCGAGCGCCCTCACACGTTGGCAGCCGGTTGGACGAGATCGACGGCAGCCGTCGGCGCGGTGGGGTGGGGTCGAGCCGGGGACGAGGCCGCGCTTTGCGCCCCAAGGCCGCATACGCTCGCCGCAGGGCGAGCAGGGCGAGCGCGGCTCGAGCACGAGACGCTCGCCGTACCCGGTCGAGCGAGCGCCAGCAGCCTACCTTGCCCTCCCTGAGCGCCGGCACTGACTCTCCCCTTGGTCCTCTTGCAGTCGGCGGCATCTACACCGTCATCAAGACCAAGGCGCCCGTGACGTGCGCCGAGTATGGCGACCGCTACACCCTCATGGGCCCGCTCTCGTACAAGTCGGCCCCGATGGAGGTCGAGGCCATCGAGTGGGACAAGCCTACGCCCGTCAACGAGGGTGCGTCTCTCTTTCCCCTCTGCAGGACGAGCAACGCGACCGAGCGAGAGCAGGACAAAGAACTGACCTTGACGCGCCCACAGACGGTAACCCGACCACGACCAACGCCTCGCACGACGCCCTCGTCGGCACCCTCTCGTCGATGCGCGACCGCGGCGTCAAGTTCCTGTACGGCCGCTGGCTCATCGAGGGCGGCCCCAAGGTGCTCCTGTTCGACACGGGCTCGGTCTGGAACCGGCTCGACGAGTGGAAGGGCGACCTGTGGAACCTCGCCGGGATCCCGACGCCGCCCAACGACACCGAGACGAACGAGACGCTCCTCCTCGGCTACCTCGTCGCCTGGTTCCTCGGCGAGTTCTCGGCTCGCGAGCGCAACCGCGCCATCATCTGCCACCTCCACGAGTGGCAGGCCGGCCTCGCCATCCCGCTCTGCCGCAAGAGGCACATTGACGTCACGACCGTCTTGTGCGTCCCTCTCTCTCTCTCTCTATGTGTCCCTGGAGGTGTCGAGGAGCGAGCCCCGAGGGCGCGCACTGACCCTCTCTCGTCCGCCTCGCCGCAGCACGACCCACGCGACGCTCCTCGGCCGGTACCTGTGCGCCGGCTCGGTCGACTTCTACAACAACCTCGCCTACTTTGACGTCGACCACGAGGCGGGCAAGCGCGGCATCTACCACCGCTACTGCATCGAGCGCTCGGCGGCCCACTGCGCCGACGTCTTCACCACCGTGTCGCACATCACGGCGTACGAGGCCGAGCACCTCCTCAAGCGCAAGCCCGGTGCGTCCCGTGTCTCTCTCCCCTGTCGTTGGCGACGGCTTCCCTGCAACGCGAGATGCGCCTCCTCAGCTCGATCTAGTTCTCGCACTCGGACCCCCTTCCTGACTCTTTCCCCTCTCCTTTTCCTCGTCGTTCCTCGCAGACGGCGTGACGCCCAACGGCCTCAACGTCAACAAGTTCACGGCCATGCACGAGTTCCAGAACATGCACGCCGTGTCCAAGCAGAAGATCAACGAGTTCGTGCGAGGGCACTTCTACGGTCATTTCGACTTTGACCTCGACAACACGCTCTACATGTTCACCGCCGGCCGGTACGAGTACCGCAACAAGGGCCTCGACATGTTCATCGAGTCGCTCGCCCGTATGTGGCGCCCTCTCTCTCTCTCCTTTCCCCTCGTCCTGCCTTCCTCGTCCTTAGCCTGACTCGTCCGCTCTCCCTCCCTTCCTCACTCGCAGGCCTCAACTACCGCCTGCAGCAGATGGGCACCAAGCAGACGGTCGTCGCCTTCATCATCTCGCCCGCGGCGACGCATTCGTACACGATCGAGGCGCTCAAGGGCCAGGCCGTCACCAAGCAGCTGCGCGACACGGTCACCGAGATCCAGAACCGCATCGGCGCGCGCCTGTTTGAGCGCACGGCGCGGTACACGGGCGAGCACGGCACCGAGGTGCCCGACCCGGCCGAGCTCCTCTCGAACGAGGACAAGATCCTCCTCAAGCGCCGCGTGTTTGCCCTGCGCCGCAACTCGCTCCCGCCCGTCACGACGCACAACATGGCCGACGACGCCAACGACCCCATCCTGAACCAGATCCGCCGCGTCCAGCTGTTCAACCGCACGACCGACCGCGTCAAGATCGTCTTCCACCCCGAGTTCCTCAACTCGAACAACCCGATCCTCGGCATGGACTACGAGGAGTTTGTCCGTGGCTGCCACCTCGGCGTCTTCCCCTCGTACTACGAGCCCTGGGGCTGTGCGTCCCAAACTCTCCCTTCCTCCTCTTGGCCGCCGACCTGACCCTCTTTTCCTCCTCCTCGCCGCCTTGCAGACACGCCCGCCGAGTGCACCGTCATGGGTTCGTCCCCCTTTTCGCGACCGCCTCGTCGAGCCCCGCACTGACCCTCGGACTCTCGTCCACCACCCTCGCAGGCGTCCCCTCGATCACGACCAACCTGTCGGGCTTCGGCGGCTTCATGGAGGACTTGCTCGAGGACTCGCAGGACTACGGGTGCGTTTCCCTCTCACTCGCCGCCGTCGTCGTCGTCGTCGTCGCGTCGTCGTCGTTAGTCGAGCAGAAACTCACCTGACTCGCACCTCGCCTTCTGCAGCATCTACATCGTCGACCGCCGCCAGAAGTCGGTCGAGGACTCGCTCAACCAGCTCACGGACCAGATGGTGTCGTTCTGCCAGAAGACGCGCCGCCAGCGCATCAACCAGCGCAACCGCACCGAGCGCCTGTCGGACCTCTTGGACTGGAAGCGCATGGGCCTCGAGTACGCCAAGGCGCGCCAGCGTGCGTCCCTCTTTCTCTTCCTCGTGTGTTGGCGAGTGCGCGTCACTGACTTTCTCTCCCTTCCTCTACGTCTCGTCGTCCTCGTCTTGCTCCTCTCCTCCTCCTGCTCCTCTCCTTCCCCTCCCCCCTGCTCCGCCTCCTCGTCGTCCTCCTCTCCTCTCCTCCTCCTCTCCTCTCCTCTTCACTCCTTTCCTCCCCCCTCCTCTCCTCTCCTCGTCTTTGTCCCACGAACCCGACTCCTCAAACCTCGTCCATCTTCGCCCCTCGTCGCTCGCCTCGTCGCAGTCGCCCTGCGGCGCGCGTACCCGGACTCGTTCGAGGACGACGACTTCGACTTTGAGTCGGGCCAGGTCCGCATCCCGCGCCCGATGTCGGCCCCGGCGAGCCCGAGGTTCACGACGGCGCGGAACGGCATGGCGACGCCGTCGGACTTGGCGACGCTCACCGAGGAGCTGCAGGGTCTCGGCACGTCGGACTACCGTGGCACTGCACAGAGTTGGGAGTCGGTGCGTCCCTCTTTTCTCTCTCTCAGTCGTCGAGTCGAGTCGAGCCAAGATCCGAGACCTGACCGTCGACGAGCGCACACAGGTGATCCGGCAGGGCGACGAGCAGGACGAGGAGAGCTACTTCCCGCCGCTCGTCCTCAAGAAGGGCAAGAACAACGGCGGCGGCGTGTCGGGCACGACGAGTGGGCTCACGACGCCGGGCGGTGGCAGCGCGACCGGCGGCCGCACGACCCTGTCCGAGCAGGACCTCCTCGCCGCCGACGCCGCCCTGTCGCACCACTCGAGCTGAGCGCTCCCCTCGTTTCCTCTCTCCCTTCCTCGTCACCATCGTCGTCGTCGTCGCACCTCTCTCAAAACCTGGCTCCTTCCCCCCTTTTCACCCCTCCTCTCGTCCCTCGTTCGCAACCTTCTCTCCTTTCTGTGCCCCGCCTCTCCTCGCCAAGTATTCCCCCCCTCTAGCTGTACTTTGAGCTCTCTCTCTCTCTCGACGCCCTTTGCAACGGCAGGCCGACTAGTCCCCTCGCTGCGTCCCGCCTCGACTCGGAGGAGGAGAGAGTTCTCGCACGGCGACGACGACAGACGGTCTGCTCTCGCTCGCCGCTCGACAGCCCGACACACACGCACGACAGAGAGAGAGAGAGAGACTGCCATTGCGCCTTTTCTACAACGTCGACTCGCGCACGAGAGAAGGAAAGAGGTCCGTGCCCAGGTCGGCTCTCGTTCCTCGGGCCTGCGCTCGTCCATTTTCTGCGCGCTCGCGCTCAGAGCGCAGCGCGAGTCTGCCAGTGCTTGATGAGGCCCGTCGTCGACGAGTCGTGGTCGACGACCTTGTCGGCGCTGTCGAGCTGGCCGAGGATGCTCTTGGCGAGCTGCTTGCCGAGCTGCGGGCGCACGAACCGAGGGGTCAGTCGACCGTCGTTGGCGCTCTAGAGGGAAGAAGACTCGCTTCTACGCCCATCTGGTCTTGGAGAGAGGAACGGGGAGAGAAAGAAGAGTCAGGCTTCGCGAGCCGAGGGAGGAAAACGAAAGACGGAACGAGGGCTCACCGAACGAGTTGATGCCCCAGATGCAGCCCTGCACGAAGATCTTGTGCTCGTACATGACGATGAGCGAACCTGCGACGAGCACACGCGAGACGGCGTCAGGAGACGGCCCGAGCGGCAAGAGAGGGAGGAGGGGACGGACCGAGGGTCCTCGGCGTGAGCTTCTGGAACAGGATCGAGTTGGTCGGGCGGTTGCCCTCGAACACCTTGCTCTTGCGGAGCGCCTCGTTGTCGGCATCGGCGCCGAGCTCCTTGCGGACCGTCTCCTCGTCCTTGCCGAACGCGAGCGCCTCGGGCTGGGCGAAGAAGTTCGAAAGCAGGATCTTGTGGTGCAGGTTGTCGCGGATGGGGTTCTGCGACTCGACCGGCGCGAGGAAGTCGGCGGGGATGAGCTTGGTGCCCTGGTGGATGAGCTGGTAGAAGGCGTGCTGGCCTGCGCGAGGGGAAGTCGAGGTGATGGTCAGGGCCGTCGCTCGCTCGCTCGCTCGCGCGCTCGCAGAACAGGGGGACGCGAGAGACGCACCGTTGGTGCCCGACTGGCCCCAGATGATCGGGCCCGTCTGGTACGAGACGCGGCGGCCGTCCTTGGTGACGAACTTGCCGTTCGACTCCATGTCGCCCTGCTGGAAGTAGTCGGCGAACTTGTGCATGTACTGGTCGTACGGGAGGAGCGCGTGGGTCTGCGCGCCGTAGAAGTCGTTGTACCACAGGCCGACGAGCGCGAGGATGACGGGGAGGTTGTCCTCGAGCTTGGTGTCGCGGAAGTGCTTGTCCATCTCGTGCGCGCCGGCGAGGAGCTCCTGGAAGTTCTCGGGCCCGATGAAGAGCATGATGGGCAGGCCGATGGCCGACCACAGCGAGTAGCGGCCGCCGACCCAGTCCCAAAACTTGAACATGTTGCCGGCGTCGATGCCGAACTCGGTGACGGCCTTGGTGTTGGTCGACAGGGCCACAAAGTGCTTGGCGATGTGCGCCTTCTGCTCGAGGGGGAAGAGACGAGTCAGTGCCTGGCTGTAGGAGCGAGTGGGAGAGAGAGGGAAAGGAGGGAGGGGACGCACGTCGGTCGCCGACTTGAGGAACCACTCGCGCGCGCTCTCGGCGTTGGTGATCGTCTCCTGGGTCGTAAACGTCTTGGACGCGACGATGAACAGGGTCGTCTCGGGGTTGCACGCCTTGGTGATCTCGGCAATGTGGGTGCCGTCGACGTTCGAGACGAAGTGGCACGTGAGGCCCTCCTTGCCGTACGGCTTGAGCGCCTCGGTGACCATGACGGGGCCGAGGTCCGAGCCACCGATGCCGATGTTGACGATGGTGTCGATCGCCTTGCCCGTGTAGCCCTTCCACTCGCCCGAGCGGACCTTGGTCGCAAAGTCGGCCATGTGGTCGAGGACGCCCTGGACCTCGTCGGCGCCGGCCTCGTCGATCTTGAACTCGCCGCCGACGTTGCGCAGAGCGACGTGAAGGACGGCGCGGTCCTCGGACGTGTTGATGTGCTTGCCGGCGAACATGTCGTCGCGCGCCTGCTCGACGCCGCCCTCCTTGGCGAGCTGGACCAGGGTCGAGAAGACGTCGTCGTTGATGAGGTTCTTGGAAAAGTCGACGAGAAGGTGCACGTCCTTGTTGGGCGAGTCGTACGTGCGCGAGAACTTGGCGAAGCGCTCCGGGTCCTGGTTGAAGAGGTCCTTGAGCACGAGCTTGGTGTGCTCTGAGTCGTAGAGCTGCTGGAGCTTGGCCCACGAGGGGTAGTCTGCGAACGGGTGCGCCGGTCAGTCCGCTGATCAGGTCACGGCGCCCGACCTGCAGTGCGATCCAGCTGCATCTCCGTCATCTGCCGCGGGCGAGTGAACGCTCCTCGCTCGTCCCGCCGCACGAGCCGCTGCCGCCGTCACGAGCCCAAGAGACTGCCCCATCAATCTGCTAAGCCCGGCCAGGGGCACAGGCGAGCCGTGTACGTCGAGTTGGACGACCGAAGGTGGCCGAACCGTCGATGAGGCGGTGGGGAGGAGACGACGAGGGAACTGGGTGCTGAGGGTCGAGGGCAAGGTGGGCGAGCGAGACTCACCGGTTGCGAGCTTGCCAGACATGTCGAGTGCGAGTACGAGGTCGAGGCGAGGGTGAGGGACTGCAGCGAGGCGGCTCGTCGTCGTCGGTCGTCGTCGGTCGCCCTCGTGCGGGGTCGCCTTCGTCCTCTCTCGGCGACTTGATCCACCTTTCGTTCGCTTGCTCTGACTCGCTCTCGCACTGGCGAATTTCTCAAGAGCTTGACGAACAGCCTTGCTCTCGAATCGACCCGGCGCAGACCGAAAGGAAGAGAGTGGCTCGGCAAAGCCGATGCGAGTGCACGAGCGAGACGATCTACGAAGGATGCAGGGCCTCTTCGACGAGAGGCGTGGGTCTAAAGAGAGGGTACGTAATGACACGGAAGGGTGAAAGGCAGGGAGGGGAGAGAAGGCGAGAAAGGGCCGGGAGGGAAAAACGACGAGGCCAGGGATGCTGGTGAGCCGAGGTTTGCTCACGCCAGATCCCTCATCTTGGCGTCCTCGTTCATCTCGGTCGTGCCGTGGTTCTTGGCGCCACCCTCCTTGAAAGCCGTCTTGTACGCGTCCGTGTCCGAGTCGTGCGTGTTCGACTCGAGGATCTCGCGGCGGATCTTGCCCGAGCGAGCGGCGTTGACGTTGGCGCGGAACAGGATGTCGACCTGCTCGAGCGAGAGGCCCTTGGTCTCGGGGACGAAGCTGCAGGACGGGCACAGGGTCAGTTGAGGTGCGCGGCGGGTGAGGAGGGGGAAAGTCGGAGCCGTCGACGAGGGAAGAAAAGGGAGACGTACAAGAAGACGAAGAAGGCGGCGAGGACCGAGACGCCGCCCCAGATGAAGAAGACCTTGGAGCCGAGGCCGGCCGAGCCGGGCTTGTCGTCGACCATGTACGGCGTCGCGTAGCCGATGCCAAAGTTGAACAGCCAGTTGGACGCGGTCGACATCGACATCTGCTTGCCGCGAGTCGCAGTCGGGTAGATCTCACCGGTGACGACCCAGCTGTGAGAGAGAGAGGCAAGGGGAGAGGTCAGTCCCGGGACGAGAGAGTGAGGGAGGAGGAGGGAGACGGCGACGCACGCGATCGGGCCCCAGGTGGCAGCGAAGAATGCAATGAATATGCACACGAAGGCAATGAGGACCTTCTGGCCGGCCTCGTTCGACTGCGGGAGCGCGGTGCCGATGATGGCGACGATGAAGTGGCAGACCTGCGAGACGAGGATCGAGAGGTCAGAACGGCCCGACACGTTGGACGAGCGCGAGAACAAGAGGACGTACAGCCATGCCGACAGCGCCGACGAGGAGCATGGTGCGACGGCCGGCCTTGTCGGTGAGCCAGAGACCCGGGACGGTGGCACCGACTGCGGGCAGGGGGAGGACAAGGGGTCAGAAGACAGGCTTCGCGCGAGCACAGAGGGCGGGAAGAGCTCGTGACGGACCGTTGACGACATTGGTGGCGATCGTGATCAGGAACGGGTTGTTGATGCCCGAGTTCTGGAAGAAGCTGTTGGTCGCGAGGAGAGGGAAGGTGAGCCGAACGCTCGAGAGGCGCAAGAGGAACAGGTTGAAGCTCACGTCGTGCCGTAGTAGAAGACTGCGCAGGGAGAGGGCAAGTCAGTGTCGCACGCAGGAACGGGCGGGAAGGACGGAGCGAGGACGCACTAAAGTTGATGCCGACGAGCTGCTGGAGCGCCTGGAGCGCGATACCGATGAACGTGCGCAGGCGGTTGCGGTTCGTGTTCTTGAAGCAGTCGAGGTACGTCGTCGAGCCGAGCGAGCGAACGTGGTGGACCGAGGCGGCGATCTCGGCGTACTCGGACGCGACGACGTCCGAGTCGGGGTCGGCGGCGAGGATGCGGGCGAGCGAGCGCTGTGCGGCCTCGTCCTTGCCGGCAGCAATGAGGAAGCGGGGCGACTCGGGGAGGAGGGCGAGACCGGTGGCAAGGATGAGGGCCCACGCGAACCTGCGAGGAGGGGGCACGAGCGGGGTCAGTTTGTGCATCTCTTGCTCGTCTCGGCCGCTCGACAGAGAGAGAGGGGGACGCACTGGATGCCGATGGGGATGGCGTACGAGCCGAGGTCGTTGCGCGTCTTGGTCTGGTCGACGACGACGGCGGCGATGAGGAGACCGATCTGCGGCGAGGGGGGTCGTCAGCGCCTCGTTCGCCGCCGCGAGGCCGACTGGACTGAGCGAGAGAGAGAGACGTACAGTGATCATCCACTGGTACGCGCCGACGATGGCGCCGCGGATGGCCTTGGGCGCGCACTCGCTCTGGTACATGGGGACGAGGCACGACGTGCCGCCGACGCCGAGACCGGCAAAGACGCGGCCGACGACGAACGTCGGGAGGGTGGTGCCGCCAGTCTGGCACGCGACGCCGATGGTGAACAGGACGAGGAAGGCCATGATGCCGTAGCGACGGCCGAGGAAGTCGCCGACCGGGTACGCGAGGAGGGCGCCGACGAACGTGCCGGCCGACAGGATCGAGGTGATGAGCGAGTCGCGGCCGGATGGGAGGGCGAAGGGCTTGTCGGGGTTGCCGGTAGCGTCTCCGAAGAGCTCGAGGAAGTAGGGCATCTCCTTGACGCCCGAGATGTTGCCCGTGTCGTAGCCTGCACGACGACGAGTCGGTCAGCTCGCGTTCGCGGCCCTGCATGTCCCTGCTGCGCATCCGAGAGCCGCACAGGACCGCCGAGAGCACGCAGAAGCGGCCAGAGCCACCCAGGCGAGCGACTCGAGGTGGCCCTCGCGTCCCCCACGCTCCTCCTTCCTCCGCAGCGCGTCGAACGAGTGGAAAGGGTGGACGCACCGTAAAGGAAGCCACCAAAGGCGGCGAAGCACGACCTGCATGCGCCAGAGGGAGTTCAGTCGCTGTTGCACGGCGCGCGCGAGAGGGAGAGGGCGAGGACGCACATGATGATCGCCATCGCCTTCGAGGGAGCGGGTCCAGCCGACATGGTGGGCGGGTGTTTTTGCAGGGTGGTGGAGCGAGGGAAAGAGAGACGAGGACCGGTGCTGGGCGAGGTGCAAGTGGCGGCGATGGAGCGAGAGGCTGGAACTCGAAAGTTGAGCGAGGCCTGGACGAGTCGCGGCTCTGCGAGGGGTGGGAGGGGGCGACGAAGGGAGGAGAGAGGGTTGGGTGGAGAAGGAAGGAGAGCCGGGGCGGGGGCGCGTGGAGCTCGACAGAGGGAGAATCGATGCACAGCGAGCAACCGAGGCGGGCGAGTTGCGCGGAGGCGCGCTCGGCCCCTCGCGCGCGCACCTCGTCCCCCCAAAACGCGCCCACAAAGCTCGGCGACCGGAATCCGCACCCCGCATCTCGAGTCTCAGATCTCGCCAGATCGAGCTAAGTTAGACTCTGAGTGACGGGGCAACCACTTTCCGCCACCAGGCACTCGCCCGGCGCACGTCCGTCGAGAAGCTGAGAAGGTCTGTGCACCCTGCAGCTCGCACGCGTCGCAGCGAGCCAGCAGCTCAGGAGCTCGTCGCTTCATGTGCAGCGTCGAGCCCGAGCCGCGGGACACACGGCGAGCAGCGCATGCGGAGGCCGAAGCTGCGAAGGCTGCGGCTCCGCGACGCCGCCGCTTTCCGAATTGTGCGCACCCCGCAGTGGCGCAGCCTGCGCCGCTTTTGCGGCTCGTCCGAGAAGCTTCTCGCCGCGAAGAAGAGCGGCTCGAATCGGTGGCCGCACGCACGCGGCGCCGGCTCGCGCCCACAGCGAGCAGTGGGGTGCGAGTGCGCGCTCGGCAGCGTGGGCGCTGTCCTTCGCGCTCGTGGGCGCGCGACAGCATCGGCTCGTGGGCGTGAAGCCGAGTCTGAGCGGGGGTACGAGGACAAAGGTGGGTGCGCAGCGGTGCGACGACGACGACGACGACGCGGCGTTGGGCTCGAACCTCGCACGGACCGTCGCATGCGGCGGCGGGCGAAGAAACGCGGGGAACGAGGGGGACGGCCGGGGAGGGTGGGTGCGAAGGCGGAGGACGGGTTGGGGGAGGAAGGCGTGACGAGGGCGGGGCGCCGTGCACGGGCGTGCGAGGCGGGGCTCGGGCCTCGTTTGTCGATGTGGCGACTCACCCGACGGCAGCAGAGCCGGCCTCGAGCGCGGTGCGCCGGCCACTCGACACGGACGAGCAGGAGCAGAGGAAGGAGGAGAGAGAGAGAGAGAGAGCCGGGCGACCAACAAGCGCGACAGACGTGGCGGTCGTCGGTGGCCCACCAGGTAGGGCCGCACGGACTTCTTTAGCCCGGGCGGACTGCCGTCGTCGACCGAGCGCTCGTACATACAAAAGGATCGACTTGAGGCGCAGGTCCAGTCGCGGTGCCGAGTGACCTTCGAGGCGGCCCGTGCGGCTTGCGCACAACACACTTTCGCCTCGAACGTCTTGCGGCAGGGTCTCTCATAGCAATCACGGGCTGTCGTAGCTCTGACAAGCCGACTGCTAGCTCAAGCTCAAGAGCCGGTGAGCGACCACTCGCTGGCGAAAAATCCGAGACCTGGCCCCGCTCTCGCCGCCGACGACGACGAGCCCATCGCCGACCGCCTCCTCCTGCAACTAACAAGGCGCGCACCGACTGCTCGCTGCGCGCACGCTCAGCTCCGGCCATGGTACCACCGCCGCACGCCCCTGCGCCCACGCCCTCGAGCCTGTCGTCCCTGTCGACCCAGACGCTCTCTCGAACCCTCGAGCTCACCCGCCTGCACCAGCTCGACCTCGCCGCGCCCGCCCACCTCAGCTCGACTATCCAGGGCAACCTCGCGCGGCTGGCGCGCGGCATCAACGCCCTCGAGAGCGAGGGGCAGACGAGCCACGACGTCCTCGTCGGCCTGCGCGGCCAGTGGGGCCGCATCGTCGCGCTCGTCGAGCCGCTCGGCGTGCGTGTCGAGGAGCGGCTGCGCACTGAGGAGGAGCAGGGGCGAACGGGCAGGCTCGTCGAGACGGACGACGAGCGAGAAGCCGGGGACGAGGGCGACGACCGGGACGAGTACGTCCGACCCTTTCCTTCTCACGCCGCGCCCACGGTGTGGCTCACCTCGAGCACCCGCGCAGACTGGCGCCTCGATCGGCGCAGGCGAGCCCGCACGTGGCGATCCCGGTGCACGACGACCGACGAGACCTCGCCCAGATGGAGGAGGACGAGGACGAGATGGACCGCGCCAACGCCCAGGTCCTGCAGATGCAGAAGCGCATGCTCGAAGGTGCGTCTGCGTCTCATTATTTTGTCTGCTCTGTCTCTGTCGAACGTCGCTGACCTTGCACCCCGTCCTCGTCCCCTGCTCCCGCTCGGCCCCTTCCCACCCTCGCGCGCGCAGACCAGGACACGCAGCTCGACTCGCTGTCGTCGGCCATCTCGCGCCAGCACGCACTGTCACTGCGTGTCGCCGAGGAGCTCGAGCTGCACTCGTCGCTGCTCGACGACACGGACGAGGCGCTGGATCGCACCGGGTCGAACCTGCGGCGAGCGAGCGGCCGGCTCGACCAATTCACGCAGCGGGCCAGGGCGACGGGCAGCACAGGCCTCATCGTCGCCCTCATCGTGCTTCTCGTCATCCTCATCCTCATCTTCAAGGTGTGAGCGCACGTCGTCTGCCCTCGCCTCGCCCTCCTGTCGTCCCCCCTTGTCACACTCGTCGCCGTACCCCTTGTCTCGTCTGTAATTTTACGCAGAGCCCTCTTCTCTTCTCGCCTCTCGCCGTCGTGCATGTGCAAGTGCGTCGAGATTGACGTTGTGCGACCGCGAGCGCGCGAGGGACCGACGACGAGCAGCGCGGGTTCTTTTTTTCTGGGCGCACGACCTCGTCTGTCAGAGTATCGAGTGCAAGAGGAGAGCTTGACCCTAGCAAAGGGAGCCGATGTGAGTGCGGCGAGTTGGACTTGGTCGAGCAGAGAGACGACAAGCGGACGCGGGTCTGTGCTCGTCCCGCACGCCGCTACTGCGCGAGACCGACCGACTCGCAGCTCTCGGGTCACCCGTCTGCCCCTACAGTCTCGCCGAAGGTCGCGCTTCGTCCGCCGAGCGCGCAGCAGAGCCCGACGAGCCGGACCAACACCGCCACCGCCGACGAGCCTCGTCCACGTCCCTGATCAAGCCCGGCACGCCTGTACTACCGTCAAGGTGAGCCCAGCACTTCCCCCACCCGCCGTCGTCCCCGCTCTCGAGTCGGTCCTGCGCCAGAGCAAACACCTGAGCTTTGAGCGGGTGCGGGGCCGGCTCAACTCGACCGCACTCTGCACGGGGACGGCTCAGGCGGGGCAGGGCAAGGCGTACGGGGGCCAGAGTGCGGCAGTGCAGGCGCGCCGCACGGCGAGGCTGTCGGCTGTCGACCTTGGAGGCGGTGCCCCCGATGACCGCCGAGCGGGTTCGACGATGCGCGCAGGCGGGACCCTCACCGTCGCAGGAGACCCGTACTGACTGCCTGCACTGTCCACAGACCAGCTCTCGCCGTCGACCGCCGTCCCTCCCCCGAGCGCCGCCATGTTGCGCACCCAGCTCCGCCTCTCGTCCTCGTCCTGTCGGCTCCCGTTCGCCCGTTCCCTCTGGCGGGCACCGACACGACACGCCTCGTCCGCGGCGGCAGCAGCGACACCGTCTCGCTCGGGCGATGACCTGCCGCCGCACCTCGAGCGCGCCCGCCACGCCCTGTACACCGTCCCTCCCCTTCCGCCCATGCCGCCGCCGCTCCCCGCCGACGTCGACCCGGCCGACACGACCATCCACACGACGGCCGGCTCGACCCTCGCGTCGGGCGTCACGCTCGGCCACCAGATCCCGGGCGCCCAGGAGCAGCTCGCCGTCCTCAACGCGTGCCTCGCGAGCGGCGACCTGAACCGCGCCGAGGACGTCGCCAAGCGCATCCGCGCCAACTGGGTCCGCGGCGGCGAGATCGGCTCCCTGTCGATGCTCCTCCCGCCCCGCGTCCACGCCGACTTCCTCAAGGCCTACTTCGTCCGCGCCATCCAGCCGCCGTACCTCCCGCTGTCGGCCCAGAGCCTCACGGCCGGCTACGACGGCCTCGGCCTCCCGTCGGGCACGCTCGGCACGGGCGAGCGCAAGACGAGCGTCTCGCAGCACCGCAACACGATGCGGTTCGTCGCCAAGGTCTGGGCCTACTTCGACTCGCTGTTCGGCGTCCAGTGGGACATCGTCGACCCGCACACCAAGCGCGCCCGCCGCGGCGTCAACGGCGCCATCGACGCCGGCGTCCTTGCCGTCATGCTCAAGGGCCTCACCGCCCTCGGCCCCGACATCTACAACCCGTCGTCCCTCACCGACCCGGACCGCGTGTGCCGCCCCATCACCTACGTCCTGTCGATCCTTCGCCAGACCGGCATCGAGCTCCAGGACGTCATGCGCGACACCGTGTTCGACATCGAGCTCCCGAGCTACCTCGGCAGCGTGTCGCGCGACCAGGTCCTCGACGCGTTCCGGGCGACGGGCCGCGGCCGCGAGAGCTGGGACGAGTGGGACCGCGTGCTCGACGAGGTCAAGGCCGACGTCGACCGCATCCGCGAGGGCCGCGAGCAGGAGCAGAAGGCGCGCTCGGTCGTCGCAGAGCTCGACCCGGTCATCAGCCCCGTGCGTCCCTCTTCCTCTTTCTCGCCCTCATTCCCTCTCTGTTCCTCTCCCTCGCCGTCCCCCTCTTCCTCTTCTTCGCCCACTCCCTCTTCTCGATCCCTCCCCTCGCCGACGTTACCGCCTCGAGCTCGTCGGGCACACGCACTGACTCGGCCTTTTCCTCGCCTCGCAGAAGTCGGACGTCAACATGTCGCTCCAGACGCTGCGCACCAACCTCCTCACTTTGTCGATGCCCGGCTCGGTCACCGAGATCTCGCGCACGCAGCGCCAGCGCCTCCTCGAGGAGTCGTCGTACGACGCCGCCCGCCAGCTGTACATCCACGAGATGGAGGAGCTCGCCCGCGTCGGCAAGGACAAGGAGCGCGGCCTCCAGTCCAACTGGCTGCAGTCGATCATGTTCGACTGGCTCAAGCACTTTGAGCGCGCCCTGTTCGAGGCGTCGTGCGAGTCGGGCAAGGGCTCGCCGTGGGGCAAGGACGCCGACATCGAGCCGTTCATGCGCCTCCTGTCGCCCGACAAGATGGCCCTCATCACGATCGTCGAGCTCATGCGCCTGTGCGGCAGCGAGGGCGTCAGCGGCGGCATGAAGGCGGCGCGCGCCATCCTCACCATCGGCCGCGCCATCGAGAACGAGTACCACGCCGAGGCCCTCAAGGAGGGCTACTCGAACAAGCAGCTCCAGCACGAGATCGACCGCATCTCGGAGGGCACGGTCGGCCCCGACGGCCGCATCCAGAGCCGCAGCGCCGAGGAGTCGCTCGGCATCCTGTGGCGCCGCGAGCTGTCGAAGCGCGAGCGCGAGGGCGACACGACGTGGCGCCCGGCGTGGACCCAGACGATCCGCGCCAAGGTCGGCAGCATCCTCGTCACGGCCCTCATGGACGTCGCCAAGGTCGAGCGCACCGTCAAGCACCCCGAGACGGGCGAGATCCTGAGCGAGGTCCAGCCGGCGTTCTCGCACGCGTACCAGTACGTGCGCGGCCTCAAGCTCGGCATCATCAAGGTCAACTCGGCCGTCAGCGAGCGCATGGACAAGGACCCGCTCCGCATCACGCTCCACCCGCGGTTCCTCCCGATGCTCGTCAAGCCCAAGCCGTGGCTCAGCTACAACAGCGGGAGCTACCTGCTCCACTCGACCCAGATGATGCGCATCAAGGACTCGGACGAGCAGCTCCAGTACCTCCAGCAGGCGTCCGACAACGACACGCTCGACAACATCTTTACCGGCCTCGACGCCCTCGGCTCGGTCCCGTGGCAGATCAACACTAAGGTGTTCGACGTCGTGTCGACCGTGTGGAACTCGGGCGAGGCCGTCGCCGACATCCCGGCCAAGGACTCGCTCGTCGAGCCGCTCGCCGCCGAGGTGCCCGACAACGTCGACAAGGACCCGCGCGCGCGCGACAACTACCGGCACCGCATCCGCCAGGCGCTCCAGGCCCGTCGCTCGGCCCACTCGAACCGGTGCGACCTGAGCTACAAGCTCGAGATCGCGCGCGCGTTCGTCGACGAGAAGTTCTACTTCCCGCACAACCTCGACTTTCGCGGTCGCGCGTACCCGATCCCGCCCAACCTGTCGCACATCGGCGACGACATGAGCCGAGGCCTGCTCAAGTTCGGCGAGGCCAAGCCGCTCGGCGAGCGCGGCCTGCGGTGGCTCAAGATCCACCTCGCCAACCTGACCGGCTTCGACAAGGCGAGCTTCGACGAGCGCGAGGCGTTCACCGACCAGCACCTCGACGACGTGTTCGACTCGGCCGACAAGCCCCTCGACGGCAGCCGGTGGTGGCTCAAGGCCGACGACCCGTGGCAGTGCCTCGCGACCTGTTTCGAGCTCGCCGCCGCCCTGCGGTCCGAGGACCCGACCAAGTTCGAGAGCGCGCTCCCTGTTCACCAGGACGGCACGTGCAACGGCCTGCAGCACTATGCCGCGCTCGGCGGCGACTTCAAGGGCGCGCACCAGGTCAACCTCGACATCGGCGACCGCCCGGCCGACGTCTACTCGGGCGTCGCCAACATGGTCAACGTCCTCATCGAGCGCGACGCCGAGCGCAACGTCCAGGAGGCGGTCCTCCTCAAGGGTCGCGTCACGAGGAAGGTCGTCAAGCAGACGGTGCGTCCTGCCCCCGTCCCCCTCTTTCCCGCCCTTTCTCGCCCCTCGTCCTGACACGGCGCCTCGTCCCTGCAGGTCATGACGACCGTGTACGGCGTCACGTTCATCGGCGCCAAGAACCAGATCCAGCGCCAGCTCAAGGACCGCGGCGACATCCCCGCCGAGCACCTGTACACCTGTTCGCTCTACCTCGGCCGCCTCGTGCTCGACTCGATCGGCGACATCTTCAAGGGCGCGACGGGCATCCAGACGTGGCTCAACCGCTGCGCCCGCCTCATCGCCAAGTCGATCCCGCCGCAGCGCATCCACGCCGCCCTCCAGGAGGAAGCGCCCAAGCGGGTGCGCAAGGCGTCGACCGAGGGCGCCAACGACGACAAGGACAAGGCGCCACGTGCTGCGCCGGCGCTCAAGCGCTCGCGCATCCCCAAGGAGCAGATGACGAGCGTCATCTGGACGACGCCGCTCGGGCTCCCCGTCGTGCAGCCGTACCGCAAGCCCAAAAAGCGGCAGGTCCAGACGGCGCTCCAGACCGTCTTTATCGTCGACCCGTCCATCCCTGCCGAGGTCGACGCTCGCGCCCAGGCGACGGCGTTCCCGCCCAACTTTATCCACTCGCTCGACGCGACCCACATGATGATGACGGCCCTCGCGTGCAAGGACAAGATCGCGTTCGCGTCGGTGCACGACTCGTACTGGACGCACGCCGCCGACGTCGACGAGATGTCGACCATCCTGCGCGACACGTTCGTCGAGCTCCACTCGCAGGACATCCTCGGCCGCCTTCGCCAGGAGGTGCGTCTCTCCCTCTCTTTTTCTCCCCCTCCTCTCTCCCTCTCTCTCCTCTTCCTCGCCTCTTGTACTGACGTCGACACTGTCCCCTGCAGTTCGTCGACCGCTACGCCGGCCACGTCGTCCCCGTCTCGAAGATCCCGCCCGGCCTCTTGCGCGACCCCGAGGCGAACGCGCCCGTCAACGACAAGGTCAACCCGGACGAGGCCGCCATGGACGTCATCTCGGAGCTCGAGGCCGAGGACGGGCCGGCCGGCCTGTCGCTGTTCGCCCAGTCGCACGAGGTCAAGCGCGCGTCGCTCGACTCGGCGCCGCCCTCGTCTTTCGGTCGCGCTTCGCCGTGGAAGTCGACCGACGACGACGAGACCGGGTTCGACGAGCTGTGGCGCGGCAAGACGTCGAACCGCACCGACTCGAAGCTCGTCTCGCTCGCCGCCGTCCTCCCGCCGGCGCCCGGCAAAGGCGACTTTGACCTCACGCGCGTGCGCGACAGCTCCTACTTCTTCAACTGTGCGCCCCACTTCCTCGTTCTTCTCGTCCCTACCGAGGGCGTCGCCGACTGACTCGCTCTGCGTCGTCGTCGCAGAATCGCCGACCGATGGGCCCTCCTCTCGCCCTTGTCGCGCACCCCACCTCGTCCAGCTGCCATTTCGTGACTGCCACCTTCTTCATTTATCCCCTCGGCTCCTACTCCCTGTTGCTCCTCATAGAAAAGGCGCCACCCCTCGCCCATCCTCCTTCGCCCTCTGCATCTCCGTCCACCGCTGTAGTTGTACCCCGCTTTGTGATACCCCTCTTCCCCCCGCTCTTCCCTCCCTGTTCGCACTTGTCAGCAGCTTGCGCATCCTTTGCTCGAGGGCTCGCATCGAGAGCCGGCTTTGCCCGTCGCGCCCCTTCTGCGAGAACGCCTGCGACGAGGAGCAGGCGGCCAGAGTACCGAGTTTGAGCGAGAGCGCTCCCCAGTTTGACGTGTGCGGTCGAATCGAGCGTGTCAGAGTCGAGAGAGGCAGCGTTGGCGTACGACAGCGAGCTGTAAGGGCAAGTCGAGAAGGTCAAAGTTGAGAAGGTCCGGGAGCAGGGGGAGTTAGGGTTAGGGTTAGGGTTAGGGTTAGGGTTAAGGTTAGGGTTAGGGTTAGGGTTAGGGTTTCTTGGAAATGGAGCGATAGGGAAAGGCCACTGAGGGC